CACCTTACGTGGACTACCCCCATTGACGTAACAAGGTACTATAAATGCTTTGAAGACTGTACAACACAAAGGACGTTATTACAGAAATATATTAATTAAAGTAGATACAAGCGAAAGTAAGACCACTGCCGCATGGGCCAGTCCATGGCGTATGATTAACTAATGCGCGTTTTTTGTACATGACCTTGGCAGGGAACGATGACCTGTTCGACATTCAGTGATCCAACTGCCGGATGATTTGGCTAGGGCTCAGTGACATTTCACTGGCCCTACAATACTCCCCCACCAGATTCAGCGGCCGTTTGAATCGGTACCAAACATGTTGGGAGCAGTCGCACGCCGGAGAGTGCCAGACGAATATTATAAATCCTCCAGGTATTGCTTATCTGTAAAACAAATGGAAAGGAGGCGGCAGAAACTGGTCGCGAAACAGCGAGTCATAATATGTTAGTAGGACGTTGCTTAAACGTAAATTGATTAACCATAGAAATAATGAAAAGAACAAAACGTTTTATTGTTCTATCAAGTCGCGCTGAAATATATAGCCTTGACAAGTAATTCAGTTCCTCCGATGACAAACGTTAAGTCTGCCGCAAGAGTAATGATGCTATAGCGATAGTAGGATAAGTGTATTATCAATCGATATCCATATTTGTACTGTCATTAGTTTGAAGTTGTAAGTCGAACAGTGTCGTTGACAGCTATTAATTAGTGTCAAATTCTAGTTATATCTATATCTAACAGACTAACCGTAAGTACAGAAGTATAACAGTGAAGAGTGGTCGTGATTTCGTTGTGCGAAGCTATTGACCAACTTGTAGTCACAGTTTGAAAAGTCGATGACTGCTGTTACAGTCAGTAAGGGTTGAAGGCTACAAATCGACAGCAAAAGTGGCACGATGAAGTCTCTAAAAGATGATAAACGGTGAATGCCGCGTGTTTGTTCGCTTAGTGAACAGAAAAATATCGAAAAGAACATAAGAAACCAAGAGTGTCACTCTGGACTCATGTCAATGATACCCGTGAAAAACGCTGTCAGTGTTGGGATAGAGGCGACAATATCGTTTTCAGTTTGCAGGAGATTCGCTCGACTGCATAAACTGGTGATTCGCGCGAATGATATTGTCGTCAGACCACCAATTGAACTGGACAGGTTGTAAATCGTCGAGTAGTTGAACAGCCTATTGATGTACCGGAATCATCTGTTAATTAACAGCCACGAGGAAACAATACTTCATAAAATGAAGTACGACATCGAAGTAGAACAACTACAATAGTTCAGATGTGTTACAATGTCAAGTCTAAATAACATCGTTCTTACGTATACTGACAGTTGCACTGAACGTTCGTTTAGGTATGATTAGCGTAACAGTTGGATGTGTGAATAAAAACATATACGAAAACTATGGTTGGGTTCGTGGGGAATTGTCGAGGACGTTTAGATATTTTCCAAACCCGTATGGCATGTAAATAAACCGAAAATAGAATTGAAATGACTGTCGTGTAATAAGGAAATCGAGCCATGATTTGCCGTGTGAATTAATAGCAAATACAAAGGGTATAATAAACATTAATTAAAATGGTAACCACCAATGTAACTAAGGTTTAGAGGGTCCACGTAACGTGGCCGTTTCGTAAAAGGCTGATACAAAGAGCTTATTACCTAGCGTTAAGTGACATATTAAGTACGACAACGTGTGTACTTGGGACATGGACTAAGCGTGCTCGTGTACATGCAATATGTTTTACCACAGTATGTCGACTAACGAGTCATAAATGTACATGATTTCGACTAAAACTTGACGGCAGTGACAGAATATATGACTGGTTTACGTGAAAACAACTACGAAATGTTATCACGCATCATAAATATAGTGCGAAATAATCTAATGAAATTATGAAACTTGCCTGGGTTACTCTTGCCTCTAAGTAATGAAGATATGAAGTAGGCAGTAGTTTGAATCTGGATTGTGTACGAGGTACTGTTGATTAAATTTTTCGATTAACACAGCATTGTAGACTGAATCGGTATAAGTCCAGAATTAATTTAAGCCGAATACATAGCATTACTCTGACGAACAGTTTAAACGAGATCTAAGATCGCAGGAAATTTATAGTTCAAACTCACCGTGAATTTCTAGCATCCGTATCCTCTGTTTGGCCATGGAACTCAGCAATTGGAAATTAGGCAGGCAGTGGTAAAAAAAAAAAAGCAGAACATTCTAGTGGATAATGGTTAAGCAGAAAGATGAATTTATAGTCGATAGTTAATCTTGTCTTATTTATACCAGTGGATAAGGTACAAAGAGATATGCGTTCGTGTTGCCTTGTGGCTATACTCACGAGTGGTTGATATTTTAACAGACATATTACACAGGAGCATTTACATGCTGCTAATGCTTGTTAAAGAACCACGATAGCCGATTATAATCGTAGTTGATTGGTTAGTTCTATCGATTGAACGAATTATCTAGGTTTAAATGCTAATCAACATTGACATGAAGCAACGAAAGTTCACAGTAACAGATTAACATAGGCGATGATAAAAATGAAAAAGAATAAGCATAGAGTACAATAATAAAGATTATAGTGATAGGTTGCGTTATTCGAAGTCTTGCTCACCAGTGTAGATCACCAACGTAGATGATCTATGTCGAAATGATTGGAGGCCGACTCGAGTTAGACGTGAATAGTGTGACGAACCAACTAACGTCGAAGTCACACCTCGTGGTCAGCACCTTACGTGGACTACCCCCATTGACGTAACAAGGTACTATAAATGCTTTGAAGACTGTACAACACAAAGGACGTTATTACAGAAATATATTAATTAAAGTAGATACAAGCGAAAGTAAGACCACTGCCGCATGGGCCAGTCCATGGCGTATGATTAACTAATGCGCGTTTTTTGTACATGACCTTGGCAGGGAACGATGACCTGTTCGACATTCAGTGATCCAACTGCCGGATGATTTGGCTAGGGCTCAGTGACATTTCACTGGCCCTACATATTCTTTTTGCGACTACTAAGAAGGCTCTCCTATCTTTCTCGGCCTTTCGTCTTCTAGACAGATATCTTGGAACCAAATGCTGCTACAGCAATCCAGATTATAATCCATGCTGTCTTCTTGTATATTGTCATCTTAAAGGCATTGTTCCTAATATTTAGCTGTCCCTGGACAGTCTTCATGGCGTGGCAAATATAATCGATTTTAATCGAAAGACCAAACCTTGTAAAAAGTGAGTTGCGTTCAGGAAGTTTGGGGGGTGGGATAAATTTTGTTAGAAAATTAGGTACAAGTTACTCTGAGAAACATGTGGGATACTATGATTCGCCGAATTGATGTCGACTATGAATTTCACACAATCCAGAGGAAAATGTTACTCTAACAATTGATTTTTTGCCATTATATTACAAAAAATATTTCCGTTCCATAGAATTTGACCACATGTCTATTAGTTCATTATTTGGACAACTTCTGTCCGATAAGTTTTAAAAGTCAGAGATGACTGGCTATAACCCTACATAGTGTACTTAACAGGAAGAGGTGGTAGTTAAAACGGTTTGGTAAAGTAATTATAGATTGCCATTGCTATTCTGGGTGGTACTGAGATTTCAACTCCTCCATCTGCTTTATGGCAAGCAGCAAATGAAAGTACAACACCAAGGTCGATCTTCGGCACTTGTTTGACGTCCATAGTTGATAGTTCATATGATATGAGGGAATTTTTTCGACGAATGCGTTTTCTGTACAACTTGTGCATAGTTAAATTTATGTATCGTCTGAGCTGTATGTTCACGCTCCTATGCTACCTCAGACGTTATACTGGTCCAATATTTTGATAAAGTTCTGCTTTTGGTGTAATAGTGTTGTAGTTTCTACTCGAGAATCAGCTCATAGAGAACATGAGTAACAGAAATTGGGGTAGCTTTCAGGTTAATCTCCACTTCTAACTAATTCATTTGATATGAAGCAGTTAATCAGACTGCGGTTCAAAAATATACGCTCGTAAAAAATTTAAACCAAATAAATATACATAGTTACTTAGTTGACTTACTCCTGTAACCTCCCATCGGCATTCTCCATCAAACTCTGTCTTCAGCAGCCCTTTTCAGTTGCTATTCGTCTTTTTAATATCTGCTTCTAATTCTCGGTGCAGTGTGTTCTTTGGCCTTCCTCTTCCCGTTTCTCCTCAGAATTCCAATTTAGCGATTGTTTCATGATACAGTTTGAGGATTTCCGCAATGTATGTCCTGTCCACTCCCACCGCCTTTTCTTAATTTCCTCTTCAGCTGGAGGTTGGTGTGTTCTCTCACATAGTAGGCTGTTGCTGATGGTATCTGACCAACGGACATTCAATATCTTGCATAGAAGACATAATTAGTACATCATTCACACATTTCTGACTTGGAAAGTCTGGACCCTACTCCAATTTTAAGTCACATTCGGAAACGGACTTTGAAACTACCCACTTTCTTACTGAGACATTACCTGCTGAATATTGGGGCCTCAGGGCCAGTGTCTCTGCTAGCTTCTGTTGCTAAGCTTCATACTTTCTTGGGTTGCGGCGATAAGTCTACTCGAACTTTGCAACATGAGGATGGACGGTACACTTTGAGTGAATCATGACATCTAAATCGTACATGTTCGTATCGAATGCGGTAGTTGTTACTGTTTCTTTTTTACATACACGTAATACATAGTGCTGAATAAAAACCCACTTTGTTGAGTCTTTTACGCATATGTCACCTAGCCTTATTTCAGGTTCATTAGTGTTCCATGAAATGTGCGTAGGAACAAAAATTGATCGTGATTTACAGTTGTTATCCAGCTATCGGGCAGTGATGAAGGCAGTGCTACTCGTAAAAATCATATAATAAAGGAAACTGTTTTCGTGATTGGTAATTTCGTGTTTGTTTAGTCTAACTTTCATTAAACCAAGTTATTTTTTATTTTAGCATTTTGGTCTCAGCAGTCCGTTTCTCCGGATCAGTCATCATGGTATGATCCTATTGAGTAAATCGAATTCATTATGATTTAGGATCATTTTATCATTGGCAAAGAATTATCTGCACATTCTGATGTTTCTTACGAAACTAAATTAAAAAAGTGTAAACGTAAATGTTTGTTCGAACCCATTTCAGAAAATGAAATTGATAAAGCTTATACGGAATTACTGTCAGATCTATCTCAAGAGTTCGCCCGTGCTTCAGCACGCTTATCCAAAGGCGTAATCGAAGACGGTCGAGTTCGTCTTTCACAAATATGTGGGAAGTATTTCCGTATAATGGGTTTCTCTCTTGATGGCTCATCTTATCTTCATCCAGAAGAAGCATTATACCTTGCTGAATGTAATAAAATCCAAGTACTTGTTAGTGGTTTACCACTGAGTATTCAAGAACTTTACGATCAGCTTTTAAACAATGAAACATATCCATACTATCTGGCCTACTCTCGATTATCACGATTAAATTTCAGTCTTCGAAAACGAGCAAATTTTGACCTACAATCATATTACCACTGTGTGACAGATAAATTATTTAAAATTCCAAAATCAATTAACGTTTCAATTACAGCCTATCCACTTTTAAACCAAGAATATAGAAAACCTATCGTAAAGAGAAAGTTCATAGACTTTCAACCACTTATTAATCATAATACAATACATTCTATCACCGATCTTATGCATAATTTACAAGAGATTGTACAACCTGCCAGTGATAAATCTGTTAAGTCAACGAAGGATTTAAATCTACTCTATGATATTTATGGAAACAATCATACAGAGAAAAGACGTATTATTAACTTCTCTAAACGCTCCCCTCCTCATCCTGATTATGTTTTATCTGTTTTGTCACCAAAACAAATATACCCAGACATAGAATCTAAAAGTTTGATAAAAGTTGGTCTACAGCCAGATACATCTGTTCTTATATGCATGGTAGATGGATGTGATGTTTCATTCTATATAACCAACTGTTTCGCAATTCCAAATATTAATTTTCAAGTAACTCGTCAAGAAAATATGGCGTGGATTTAGACTAAATAAAGGATTATTTGTGTACACTTGCTTTTTTTCATACAATAAACTCAAGTCAATCACTTCAAAATCTTGTCGTTATTAGTTTTACCAGTTTCACGTTCATTTTATCCAGTGAATAAGCGATGGGTTCACCTTTAGATCCTATTCTTATTCAACTTTTTTCTCGTGAAACTAAAAATTGAACCTCTCAAGGAAGTGATTGATAAGCTTAACTTTTGTTGCCGTCGGATTGATAACAGCTTCATCATCGTTGATCAGAACATCAGAAAAAATCTCATAGGGCGATTTAAAAAAATACACTCAGAAATCAGGCGTGTGCGGGGGAATTGGATAACAAGTTGCATTTCTTTTATGTTGTGTTAAACAAAAAAGAAAATGTTCCTATCAGTAGAAATTTATATAGGAAAAGTTCTTCAATAAGCAAGTACACACACTCTCTGAAATTTGTACCCATTCGTCACAAGATAAACCCAGTTAGATGTCTTGCAAGTAGAACTAAGGAGATATGCTCAGACAACACCATAAACAAAGAACTAGAGCACATTCATAATATGTCGAGTGAAATGAGTTGTGCACAAGGCTTTCTTAAACTCATATATAATGAACCAGGAAATAGCAACATAGATGGTTAGTAAGAAACCTCTCTTCCTGAAGCTACAATTCAATGGAGATATAGCTAGCGATGTACTACGAGATAACTTGACTAAAGCAATAAAAATGTTTAATTCAGATAACCTCTATATATCGTTTTCTAGCCGACCTATGGTGGTTCCTCAACTAAAGAATAAGTTGCCTGGTTCTGTCACATCAATGTATATCTACGAATCCAGCTGCTCCTGTGGAAAAGGCTATATCAGACGTATAACCAAACAGCTGGGTGAACGAGCTGATGAACAACTCCCTTCATGTTTAGGAAAGAATATGCTCAAAACGCAGGTCTAATCTGCCCCACTTTCTCGATAGCGGTCATTTTGTGAATAGAAACAAATCATTCCAAGTAATTTGTCGCACACCAATCGGCTTTCTTTATGGTGTTCGATCTCCTCTCTTACACAGCAGAAGCCATAGTGATTGAGCTAACAATCCAAACCTCTGTGTTCATAAGAAATTCGTAACACCCTTATCTCTTCCTTGGTCGAATAAGCCTTTACAAACGACTTTACTTATTTCATTAAAACCAAGAACCGATCAATGTTAGGCTAATATTGGAAATTTGGAAGCACTGGACAACTGTTTCGTCTTAGTATGGGATTCCTTGGCATTGCGTGTCCACCTTCAGTGCTTCCATGTTTTCAATGGTGATGTAAAATAGATCGGCTCAGGGTTTTAATGAAACTCAATTATCTCCACAACCCATCCTGAGTATTTTACTCATTATTAACTCCAACAATTCTAAGTTGCTTATTTTTCACTCAGTGTCTTCAAATATGCTCCTCACTGTCCAATCATCCGAACATTGCGTAACTTCATGATTTTAATGAATGTTATTTCAGTATCTCTCTTTTCAAATCGGACTAATTTCTCTCATGAAACATTGATTGAAGCCCGTTTTATTCTTATCTTAACTGGTACACCTGTCATCAAACTATCAATTTTTACTTTCCACTTTTCTAAGAACTTGTTAGTACAAAACCAAATACTCGCACAAGGACTTCATCAGCAGCATATTTACAATTGACGAATATCTGGAACTCAAAGCAATTGTCAACCAATACCAAAGTCAGAATTTTTAATACAAATGTCGAGACAGTTCTTCTGTATGGGGCAGAAACCTGGAGATCTATGAAAGCCATCATCCAGAAGATACAAGTGTTTATTAACAGTTGTCTACACAAAATACTTCGGATGAACAAAAATTGGATAGAACTAGAAAGGAAGGCCCAAGACAGAGTGGGTTGGAAAATACTGGTCAGCGGCCTATGCTCCACTGGGAGTAACAGGCGTAAGTAAGTAAAGACTGGATGAACGTCCCATTGGCCACTACTCAGTGACAGGCCAGTGTAGATCCAATAATAACAGACTCACCTCTTTGCGCTTATCTACAAGTGTACGAAACTTGTATACGTTTATCCGAAGATTGACGAGATTATTCAACTTCCGAAGCGAACTGGTTTAGAGTCCACTAAGTGAACTTTAACATGCCTAGATCACTTGAATGCGTTTTCATATAAGAACATATACTAAAATAGGAAAGCTGTTATTTATTGAACAGTTTGTATTTGAAAAAGGATAAAATATCATTTAATTCAAAAAAAATATAGAAATAAATATTACATCACCAAGAAAATATTGCGGTAAATTAAGCTGATAATAAGTTAGAAATAAGTAGTAGAAAACCATATTTCATTGGTGTTTTTCATATAAAGAATGTTATTAAAAAATGAAATATTGCTTGTTTGGTCAGTTGCATTTATCAAATCAAAATGACATGAAGTAATGTACGGCAAGGTTAATGAATTCTTCATACAAATTCTGTTGTAAGGTTTTCATATATTAGAAGGTGATTGTTGACGTTGATGTTCACGCATCGATTCACGTTCAAGTATCTAACATGATGGTAAAGCAAAACAAAAACATATAATTCGATACTAAATTCATTCTAATATGATGTTATGCTCTTGAACTGGGCTTAATTTCCAAAACTGCGCTAATGATATAATTTATCTGTTCAGACTGAAGTAAGATAAAATTCTCAACTAGGTATTTAGGAAATGTTCGTTTAGATTCGACTGACTCACATTCAATTAAACATAGTTCTTTTGTAGTCAATTTACCTCCTGAACTAGATTTACCGTTAATACTTGAAGAATATACGTCAATAATCTCAGACATTCCGATGCAGCCTAACAATTGGATATTGTGCGTTATTTGACTTCAGATTGAGGAGCGATAAGCTGAAGGATAATTTTTGTTAATTCTCATTATTTTAAACATTATACTGTGTTAATAACCAATTTTACAATGGATCAGTAAACATCTATTCAACTAGATTCATTAAAACTAATTAAGAACTATTATTATTTCTAAAAAAACTCCGCCTGGAGTCCCTCCGGGGGCTACTGCCGGTCCAAAGCCCGGATAAAGGAGGAGGGTTGGGCATGGGGTTAGCGTCCCCATCCCGTAGAAAACTAACTCGCTAAAAAAACGCTGACCAGAAAAAATTATTCAAACCTTCTAAATTCTGCCCTGGGAGTCAGAAGGTCTTCATTTAGAAGAATTATGACGCCTCATGATGAAAGCAGAATTCCTTCGGAAGTTACGAGGCCGATTCCCCTTGTGACAACCAGAGCGACCATTTATTTAGGTACATGGAATGTTCGTACAATGTGGGAAACCGGGAAGACCTGTGAAATAGCAACGGAAATGAGGAAATACAAATTGGCAGTGCTGGGAATCAGCGAAAATTAATGGACCCAAGCTGGACAGAAAAGGCTAGCTACGGGAGAGATGCTGCTATACTCCGGTCACGAAGAGGACAATGCTCCACACACTCAGGGATTCGCTCTAATACTGTCCAAAGTAGCACGAAATGCACTTGTAGGATGGGGATCCCACGGATCCAGAATCATCAAAGCATCATATAAAACAAAGAAAGAGGGAATTTCAATGAACATCATCCAATGCTATGCGCCTACCAACAACTACAATGAAGACGCTAAAGATCAATTCTACAATAGGATGCAGTCAATCATCGAAAAGTGCCCAACAAAGGACCTGACCATTCTGATGGGAGATTTCAATGCCAAGGTTGGAACGGACAACACTGGATATGAAGACATCATGGGACGACACGGACTGGGAGAAAGAAACGAAAATGGTGAGAGATTTGCAAATCTATGTGCCTTCAATAACCTGGTCATAGGCGGCACCATATTCCCACATAAACGCATACACAAAACCACATGGACTTCACCGGATCACTCTACACAAAATCAAATCGACCATATTTTCATCAACAAAACGTTCAGGAGGACTATAGAGGACGTGAGAACCAAGAGAGGAGCTGATATAGCATCAGATCATCACTTGCTAGTAGCCAAGATGAAATTGAAACTCAAGAAACACTGGACAACAGGGCGGACAATATCACAAAAGTTCAATACGGCCTTTCTTCAGGATACTAACAAACTCAACGAATTCAAGATAGGCCTCAGCAACAAGTTCCAGGCCTTTCATGATCTGCTCAGTGGAGAAGGAACTACTGTGGAGAGCAACTGGAAGGGGATCAAAGAGGCAATCACTTCAACATGTCATGAGGTCCTGGGTCACAAGAAGCACCATCACAAGGAATGGATCACTGTTGATACGCTGGATAAGATTCAAGAAAGGAGGAACAAGAAGGCAGCAATCAATACCAGTCGAACAAGAGCAGAAAAAGCTAAGGCACAAGCTGAATACACAGAAGTAAACAAACAAGTGAAGAGGAGCATCAGAACCGACAAACGTAAATATGTGGAAGATTTAGCAACGATGGCGGAAAAGGCTGCAAGAGAAGGAAACATGAGACAATTTTATGACACGACAAAGAAACTCTCTGGAAATCGCCGTAAATCAGAACGACCAGTGAAAAGCAAGGAAGGCGAGGTAATCACCAACATTGAAAAGCAACAAAACAGGTGGGTAGAACACTTCAAAGAACTGTTGAATCGACCAGCTCCACTGAACCCACCCAACATCGAAGCAGCACCCACGGACCTCCCAATCAATGTTGGCCCACCAACAATTGAAGAAATCAGCATGGCCATCAGACAAATCAAGAGTGGCAAAGCAGCAGGACCGGACAACATCCCAGCAGAGGCACTAAAAGCAGACGTAGCGGCAACTGCAAGGATACTCCACATTCTCTTCAATAAGATTTGGGATGGGGAACAAGTACCAAAAGACTGGAAAGAAGGACTTCTGATCAAAATACCGAAGAAAGGCGATCTCAGCAAGTGTGATAACTACAGGGGCATCACTCTTCTCTCAATACCGGGAAAAGTCTTCAACAGGGTATTGTTAAACAGGATGAAGGACTGCGTAGACGCTCAACTTCGTGACCAACAGGCAGGATTCCGTAAGGATAGATCGTGTACAGACCAAATCGCAACTCTACGGATCATTGTGGAACAATCAATTGAATGGAATTCATCACTCTACATCAACTTCATTGATTACGAAAAGGCATTTGATAGCGTGGACAGAACAACACTATGGAAACTTCTTCGACACTACGGTGTGCCTCAGAAGATAGTCAATATCATACAGAGTTCATATGATGGATTACACTGCAAAATTGTGCATGGAGGACAGTTGACAAAGTCGTTCAAAGTGAAGACCGGTGTCAGGCAAGGTTGCTTACTCTCACCCTTTCTCTTTCTCCTGGTAATCGACTGGATCATGAAGACGTCAACGTCTGAAGGGAAGCGCGGGATACAATGGACATCTAAGATGCAGTTGGATGATCTAGACTTCGCAGATGATCTGGCCCTTCTATCCCAAACGCAACAACAGATGCAGGATAAGACGAACAGTGTGGCAGCAGCCTCAGCAGCAGTAGGTCTCAATATACACAAAGGGAAAAGCAGGATTCTCCGATACAACACAGCATGCACCAATCCAATCACAATTGACGGAGAAGATTTGGAAGATGTAAAAACCTTTACGTATTTGGGCAGCATCATTGATGAACAGGGTAGATCTGATGCAGATGTGAAGGCGCGGATCGGCAAAGCAAGAGCAGCATATTTACAACTGAGGAACATCTGGAACTCAAAGCAACTGTCAACCAACACCAAGGTCAGGATTTTCAATACAAATGTCAAGACAGTTCTACTGTATGAGGCAGAAACCTGGAGAACTACGAAATCCATCATCCAGAAAATACAGGTGTTTATTAACAATTGTCAACGCAAAATACTTCGGATCCATTGGCCGGACACTATTAGCAAAAACGTACTGTGGGAGAGAACAAACCAGATCCCAGCGGAGGAAGAAATCAGGAAGAAGCGCTGGAAGTGGATAGGACACACATTGAGGAAAGCACCCAACTGCGTCACAAGACAAGCCCTCACATGGAATCCTGAAGGCCAAAGGAGAAGAGGAAGACCAAAGAACACATTACGCCGAGAAATGGAGATAGACATGAGAAAAATGAACAAGAATTGGATGGAACTAGATAAGAAGGCTCAGGACAGAGTGGGTTGGAGAATGCTGGTCAGCGGCCTATGCTCCATTGGGAGTAACAGGCGTAAGTAAGTAAGTAATTATTTCTAAAAGCTAAGTCCTAACTTAAAAATGTTTATAGAATTCGATAAGTCTCATTTTGATTTGTTATTGGAAAATTGTAAGATTGAAGTAGAAATATCCATTGAATTCTGAGTCCTTAATCGATGCTATGTAGGAATTCAGTTTGATTTAAACATGACTTTCCATATTGGATAAGTCTAAATTGATAGGGTAAAAATTATTTATAAAATACAAGATACCCAATATGGTCAGCAGAAAATGCATCACTAAATATTGTATTGGATTCAGTAGTCAAGACTTGAGGAAATTCAATTTTTTTGAATGAGTACGCATCACTTTCTGTCCGTGTGTAGATTTGCATAATTTCGAAAAACGATTCTATTTATAGTTCTTAAAATAGTATGGTTTGTAGATAGAATTGTTCTCTTACACTAAGCAGGTTATAATCATACAGTTTTTATTTTCATAATGAAATAAGATTATTAATATTTGTCAAGTTAGCTGAAATAAGAATAAAATATCTCACAGAATGTTTTCTACTAGACAGGAATAGTTTAATAAATAATTAACCGTAAAGCGTGCTTGATTGCTAGTATTATTTGTTACTAAAAAGTTTGAGAACTCAGTTGTTGTTGGGATATATTTGCATGGTATATTCCCTATTTCAAGAAGTCATGGCACTCGTGAAACCTGAAATCGAATTGCATAGTGCTATAAGAGGAATAGTTACAGGGAATGCCTTTCCGTTCGTAATTCAATTTAAGTAAGCTTGAATTATACAGAAATAAGTTTGACTAGACGAATCTAAACAGCAATCATAGTATAAATGAACGCATCAATAAACTAAAAACACTATTAACTAAGTAAATTACCTTAAGGGCTTCTCGTCTACGATGCTCTAATTTAGCTATCTGAAGTACAACAGAAGTAGGCGTATGCGGAACAAGTGCACTGATCGCAGCACGTGTTATGATTATTGCATGCTAGTAGGAAGAGGAGAGAATGGTCGATAAATTATTACTGTATATTATCAGGTAGCTTGTTATCCTGTAAAAAACTCACATACTTGAAAAAATTAATTGAAAAATTAGACATAAAGATTATGGATAAGTGTCCTTCCAACAATTCACAACACTACGTTGCGGTGTTTCACAAAACAACGTTTATACTTGATTCACCCATCGACTGATTGATTTCAGTCACAGGCTAATAAGATAGTGGATTATTCGTAAACTACTGGTTGAATGATCTACAAAATTAAACGTACTTAGTTAAAATTTTGATTACAACAAAGCAATAAAAATTATCCACTGTTGCACTAATTTTACAGCATCTAGTACTTCATCATACTCTACATGGATTATTCTGACTTTTGAAGAGATGAATTAATTTATCCTTTTTGAGACAATATCTGCACATATTTTGACCATGTCAGGTATTCGCTTACAATCGACTGTTTTTATATGAACGTGTATGCGTGTAAAAGTGAATAATCCATGTAGGTGTGACAAAGTACCAGACGCTATAATTTCACTCATAGATTGCTATTGTTAACATGGACAATTACTAAAATAAATGTTTGTTTCATTTTCAGTATCATAATTTTAAAATTTTTAGGGTTTTGTATATTCAGCCATCCTGATGTAATATCTGCATTTGTACGGTGTTCAAATAAAAATTAAAGAACGTTTGCCCGTGTCTACATTGTACTGTTACTAATATGATAACAAAATAGAGGCCTGTTTCAAAATCTGGGGTATCTGTTCCTGCCATCTAGATATTTTAACAAGTTATCTGTTTCATTGTTTATTTTAACAGATCATTATGTCAATTAATTGCAAAACTTATTCAGGTGCATTTGTGAAAAGTTTACGACCTTTCTCGGTACAAGTTACAAAAATGTACAATCGGAAATATCGTGATTGTTAGCAATATGGATTGAAAAGAATGAACATTATTCAGATGTCGATTTCTGTAATGCTAACGTCTAACTGGCTGTTGCTCAATATTTATCATCAATATCAATCAACAAATAAGAAACGGAAACTCATTGAAATATTTTGTGCTGAGAGTTCTATATTGCACCAAAATATAATATTGAATAAAGCTAATAATAATAATAATAGTGATAATATGCTAATTTATTCTTCATTCACAATCTCAACAGTGTAATCTAAGATAATATAATGCTGTCAACAAATCTTTTCGACTTATTTCACATAATAAATCACTTCAAACATTACACTATAAGTGCTTATTGATTCAATATACAACAGTCTGTTCAATGACCAGCTAAAAGAGGCATTGGAAATAAATAAAAAAGTGACACAGATGTAATTTTAGCTAATTACAAAACATATTTTAAAAGAGAACATTTAATAACAATAACATAAACTGCATATTGAATGTATTGCTCAACAAAAATAAAAGAACAACCATATATTTTATTATCTTTCTTCGCCAGTCATTTGACTTACTTCAATCAGAACAAGAAAAATAATCAACTGTGAAGCAGATAAATTAGGAAACAGACGTTGTACAGTTCCAGATATGCCAAGTAAAGCAATATTCACAATGACAGCTATATAGCTGACAACATCTAATGCTAACTATTTGAAATATAAAGTAAAAGAAAATAGCCATATACTACTGAGAAAAGTAGTAATAAACACTCAATTTGTTGAAATAACATGTGTTTTGTTATTGGGGTTCAGTACGATCTACGATGTTACAGATTCATGAATGAAGACGATTGGGCTTCACTAATACGATCAGTTCTCTTCGGAACTGACAACAGTCAATTATGCTCAACACATTAAATCTTGACAGCTAAGATAGGAAGAAGATGGAACCGCAGGTAGCTTGATATTTGTGGTAGAACAAGAGACTCAAACGAACTAAAAAACCCAACAACCAATCGGAGGGCGAAGGTCATGCGGGAAATCGAATCGGTAGAAAGTATGTCAGCGGTTATCGTTCCAGAAGAGATCTTAGCCTTTCTAATAAAATCTAACTACTCTCGCGACCGCCTTAACATAATAGTATAAATGAAATGTATAGTAATGATTATGAATGCTAAACGTAATTTATCCATTATGTGTACAGGTTGATATTACTCAATTTCGAACTACATAATGTTGAATATGATAGCTAGTGGCTTCCTCAACCAAAGTAGGTGGATCGTGGTTTCAACCTAAAACCTTGTGGTTGATAGTTAAGCGATTTACCCACTAAGCCATAGTTCTACACAATTCACATTCCAATAACGAAATTTCTTAATTGCCTAGATAGAGGAAACCTATAATATGAATTCTAATAATGGGAACCAGAAGAAGGATATAAATGAACAGAGAATAGAGATGTTGAATCAAAATAGAAAGATAAATACGATAATGATAAAAAGGATGATTAACCATTTTGGGTTTTATGATGTTAATGATAAGAGACCTTCAAATATATACTATCCTGTTAAAAGTATCCACTTGGCAATTTGGATGGATGTATATATGTACCGGGTTCTACAACTGACTGATTGGTGAGTTATTCGATAGATGACAGTGAAAGTGAAGTGTAAGACCATAGAAGTGATCTTGAGATGATAATAAATATCATAATCTACTACTGAATTCCGTAAATATCTTACTGACAAATAAGTGATATACGATATATAAATTAGTTGATTAAGAATATAATTACAATAAATATTATGAGATGGTAAGGTGTTTGAAATTGATAAGATAAAATACATTAACCAACGAATATAGGATAGACAGATATTAACTGCTAAATCTCTAAATTGTATAAAATAAATATTAGTAAAATGAATACGATACTACGAAAAAAAGAACAATACTTACTTGCCAAATACCAATACTATTTGCAAATTGACCAAATGGACGTTGATAACTAGTTGATAATTTATATGCATCACCTCGTATTTCAATTACATTATTCATAAAAGCCAATAAACCGGCTAATGGAAATATGCCAGTAAACATACTTACATAACCGAATTGAATAAACATTTCTAAGAAATCATCGGTTGGATCTTCATACTATGTGTAAATTGAAGGAAATCAACAGAGAGGAAAGAAAACTTGAAGGACTCTTAGAAATATATGAGATTTTCAGTAGTGTCATATAAAAAAATTGGACATTTAGAATGATATTAATTAAATTTTACCGGTAAATGTAAATAGTAAAGATGATTGAATTCATTAGTCAAGTGTAGGATCCCATTTTCAATTTTGAATCGTATATTTTGTGTATTTAAGAGTTAGTTACACTTTCTAAAACCTTAAAACAATATTGATGGAGTCGATGTCATATCCCGATAAGAATAATGAATGGTAACTTCTGGGATCTATTTATGGACCAATACTATGAGTATATTTTTATCGTATAATTGTTATGTAACTAAACTGTTCATATTCAGGTCGCTCTTATTCTAAGCTTTAATTTGACCCATAGACTATTACTATACGATTTACCATTCTTGAGTTATGGCATGTCTATCAATTACTATCTCCCTCGTTCACAGCCACTTTTGGCCAAATATTGTACAAGTGTTGTTTCATATATTATGTTACGTTGTGGTCTGTTTGATTGGTACATAAACCCCGTATGTTTGGAAACAAATGATTCATATTGCAGAGGCTGAGATTAGTGTTCTGGGCTTAGCTGGCTGGGCTAGACAGGAAGCGAGACCAATCAGGACTCTAGACTGCTCGTACGTGTTTTATGCGTCATTGGTTCGAACGATAATTCGCTGTTCTCTGACTGGCGGTATCGTTGCGTTTGACAATAAACAGGGAACATAGGTTCACAAGTTAAAACAGTCGAGTTATAAAAAGTCACCTAGTGATTTTGAATCAAGTGGCTAAAAGATTAGTCCATCACTCGAAATCTATCAGTTTTATATTCATTACCAAATTCTAAAATAAACGTTTATAAGTTTGTATTGATAAATTTCGGGAAAAAATATTCATAATACTTATTCAATTACATTAAATGATCAATACGTAACTGATTAGAAAATATGGATAGTATGTAGTGAACAGAACACAGGTGAGGACAACCGGCTTGTATTTAGCACAAAATTACAGAGTTACTCGGTAAGATAGAAAAACCATATAGTAAATCGTTAATTTGCAAAATATTAATCCATCAAATCAAACCGGACTGTTCCTGTTGCAAACATCAATCCATTGTCTCACATTTCACTGTTCATGCCCCCTTTCTTACAAATTGCATTGTGTTGTCGCTCTTCCTTTCTTGATCTTCTCCCATCTTCTGCTACCAGACATTACGTTTTATAACTCGCGTCATATACTACTTATATCAATATAAGTAGCACGCACCACAAGTATATCGTTTAAAACAAAATTATATAACAAACCTTTGAACCAACATACAACTATATACAATAGTGTTCAGCTTGTAATTTGATGCTCTAAACGTTAAACTGTTAATTAATAAGTCGGAACTTCAGATCTCACTATGCCTAATACAACAAAACTGATTGTGACCGGAGAATAAATTCACTGATGGAATTTAGTTGTTGTATAGATCGATATGGTCTATTTCAATTCGATAATTTACTGGATATTATTTGAATTAGAAAATAACCGAGTGGTATAAGTTGCATTTTAGAAAAATAACTCCAAGATAGCTAAATATATATACTCATATATACTGAGATATATTTCTAAAATTTTGGTCTATGTTACTGTGACGACGGACCATGGGTGAACTCGAGGAAGCTGTAGGAGGCTCAGAAGGGGCCGAAGATATTCCATCCAATCACCTTTTGGGAGAATATTCTAGAATTCCTACATGTAGCTTCCCGATTGGATAATGCTAATAACCTCCTGTATGCGGATTGGTGGACTGTGATGATGATTTCGTTCTTACTAAAAACTATAAATACCTGACAATTTTGTACTATAATTGACACTGTCTGGGAATAATATTCCTTTTATTAGTCTTCTGTCTTCTCATTGCGACTTGGAAGGGTTCTGATGTTCTAGTGCTCACGTCATACGCGGTATATCAAGAACAACCTTCTCGATATAACAGTTACAGAGTACTGACAAACAACAATCACTCTGTCAAAATTCAAACATTGACTATGGATTGATAGGTAAAAGTGTTAGTTGTTTACAAATTAATATTTATTACTTACACGTAACAGTGTAGCTTCTCTCTCAGCGGGTGTTATTCGTGTTTCTTCTGAATTATCTACACAGTGGAAGTTAAATAAACAATGTTTAGAAGATACATAAATAGACAATATTGAATATGTTATATATATTATCATTACTTTTACAAGTTATTTCCTTATAGTTTCCTTTCATCTTTCAGTCAGTCAGTCAGCTACAACGTAGGACCAGGCACATATGTGCATCGGTCCAGGTTGCCATACCGCATCAACACAACAAGATGAACACCGGATTCATAGCAGTGGTTAGGTCAAAGGTAGTAATATGTAAGAGAAAGATTGCATATAGAGATATAGTACAAGAAGAAAGAATTGGTTCGTAGAAAGAAAGATATGAAGCGATTTTAATCTCTTAGTTTAAGGGAAGACAGGGAGTGTATACACCTACGCCATTGTGATCGATTCTGAGCCATGTCACCAAGAGTCTCCAACCATTGGTTACTATAGTCACGCGGACCCCAACCACGTAGTCTGCATCAGTCAGTCAGTCAGTCAGTAACAACGTAGAACTTCGTACGTACGTACATCAGTTCGAGTTGCCACACCACATTAGCACAGAGATGCACTTGTCGATTCAAATCCCGTAGTGATAGAGGTAATAAGAGTATAAGTAGTAATCGGGAAGATTAGGGTTTGGAGATGTTATTTAAAGAGTATAATCCAGTGAAAGAAATTTGGAAAGAGGAAAAAAGGGACATGAAGAATTCAGAAGATTAGAGTTTGGGAGAACACAGAGAGTGGATGCACCTGCGCCATTGCAAACGATTTTGAGCCATGTCATTCAGGGTCTCTAACCATCGGTTGCTGTCATCTCGCGGTCCCCAACCAGGTAGTCTACACCTACCAACATGACTCAGTCCACTTGTCAGTGACTTCATGGATTTGTGCCATGTTTTGGTTTGGCCGCCCCTAGCTTTCTTCCAACCTACTCCTATACCACTGAACATAGCACGTCGAGGCAGTCGGTCGTTGGGCATACGTAACACGTGTCCCAGCCATCTCAACTGATGAAGTTTCACTACGTCATCAATTGATTTGCCATCCTTACCTAGTACCCGTTTCCTAACAACTGTGTTACTTACTCGATGGTCCTATGATATACGAGCAATGTTTCGAAGACACCTATGATCAAATACTAGTAACCTACGGATATCCTCTACTCTTACCGACCATGTTTCACTGCCATAAAGTAGGACGGAACGAACTGCTGCTCAGTAAACACGTCCTTTGGTTGATAGACGGATATCTCGCCTACGCCATAAATGACGCAAGTTGGCAAAAGCTAGTCGAGCCTTCTGTATCCGTGCTGAGATTTCGTCACACACCAAACCACAAGGGCTGATGAGACTTCCAAGATAAGTGAAGCGGTCGACACACTCAACTACTTCACTCCCTATCACTAGTTCGGGTGTCGATGTAACCCAATCCTGAAGCAACATTTTGCATTTCGAGGGAGAGAATCGCATGCCGAACATGCTTGCATTGTTGCTTAGAGTGGTCAGAAGACTCTGCATTTTGTCAGCGTCTTCACCAAATAAAACTATGTCATCTGCATATTCTAAGTCAACAAGTGAACCTCTTGGTAGAAGTTCAACCCCTGTAAATTTAGATGAGGAGAGTGTTATCTCTAAAAGTACGTCAATGACAAAGTTGAACAAGAATGGGGAGAGTGGACAGCCCTGACGAACACCACTTGAGGTGATCAATTCTGATGACAGTTCGCCATAAGCTCTCACTCTACCAGTTGTGTTCGAGTAGAGAGCCTTTATAAGGTTAATGTACTTCTTTGGTACTCCTTTCAGTGACAAACACTGCCATAGAACCTCACGATCAACGGAGTCGAATGCCGCCTCAAGGTCGAGAAATACTACGATTGTGGGGCGTCTGAATGTGTGTCTCTGTTCTAGAACCTGACGTAGTGTGAATATCTGATCGATACAACCACGTCCAGGTCGAAAACCAGCCTGGTTTTCTCTAGTCTGTTCTTCACGAGCTTTAGTTAGGCGTCGAAGTATTATTGAGGCTAATATTTTAGACACTATATTAGTCAAACTGATTCCTCTGTGATTGTCACAAGAGGACTTTTGTCCTTTCTTAAAAACTGGCACAATCAGTGATTGAGACCAGTCAGATGGGATTACGTCCAGTTCCCAAATTCTACCTAAGATCTCAGTTAATCTCATTGCTAATACTGGACCACCATCCTTAAAAATCTCAGGAGTAAACCTGTCAAGACCTGCTGCTCTCCCTCGTTTCAGATTTCCTATGGCTTTTTCAACTTCGTAAAGGGACGGAGGACTTACATTAACTTGCCATTCAGGTTGACTGGAGATCGTGGGAAACCGAAGTGTGGCTGAAGGCCAGTTGAACTGATCCCTAAAGTGTTCTGCCCATCGATCCAATCTCCTGGATTGAGAATGAATAATATGTCCATCTTTCTCTGAGATTGTTTCGCTAACGGTCGGGTTCCTAATTCCGGTTTCCTTAACGAGTCTAAACAATTGTCTGCTATTACCTATTGCCGCTGCCTTTTCCATCTCTCTTGCTTTCGCTACCCACCACTGTTCGCGATCATTGCGTAGACTTCTTGTCAGCTTGCGCTTAAGCTGACTCCGCTCTTCATTATGTTCAGAGCCAGGTGGAATGAGTTTTCGAGCATCTATCAGTGCGATAGATGCTGCTGAGATCCAGTGTTGCTCCCTAACTTTACGGTTTACCCTACTAGCAGATATCACTGCTGTTTCCACAGCTTTTCGGATATCGTTCCATGCTGCCTCGGGGTGGGCATCACATACATGGCTGCCTAACTGTTTTCCTAGTTGTTCCTGAAATATATTCTTAGCTTGACTATCATTAAGTAGGCCCTAAGAGGTTTCCTTGCAGGATCTTTCCTACGTCCAGTAAGACGCAAGCAAATACGCGCTCGCACTAGAGCATGATCCGAATCTAGGCATGTGCTCCAGAATGAGCGACAGTCTTCTATCGAGCCCCTCCATCGGTGGCTGATAGCGATGTGATCTATTTGGGTCCAACGTTGGGACGAATTAGGGGGTCGCCATGTTAAAAGATGTTTTTCCTTATGCTTAAAGTTAGTATTTGCAAGGAACAGGCGGTTATCTGAGCATAGCTGCAACAGACGGTCGCCATTATCTGTTCTTTGAGCCACGACACCATAGGATCCACCTAGGTGTCTTTCCTTATCGCTTAGTTTACCTACTTGAGCATTAAAGTCACCGGCCACTATTACTACATCCGAGCGCTTAGCTTTTCGGAGAAGGTCCGAAAGCTTTCTGTAAAACTCATCTTTTACATCATCTGAGCTGCAGTCAGTGGGAGAATAGGCAGAGACGACGAAGAGGCAACGACGAGTGTCCCTATCTTTCCGGATTCTTACTGTTCCGTTCAGTCGGACAGCGCACAAACGACTGTTTACTGGGATCCACTCTAAGAGAGCTAGTTCTGCCCTAGGACTCAATGCTATACCTACGCCGGCGAGGCCACGGGAAGCAGAATCAGGGCTTCCAGATACACGAAGCGTAAATCGAGTCGGTTCTTTATTTTGGCATGGTGAGGTCAAATGAATGACACTACTCGGATCCTGTATGCGCGTTTCGGAGACGCAGCACACATCGATGGCGCGAGATTCTAAAGTTTTAGCTAAGGAAGCCTGCTGTCCTATTTGACAAAGTGTTCGTACGTTAAAAGCTCCTACATGTAGTTTAGAGCGTGGTTTCAGGAGACCAGGAATGGCGTTCCGCGTACTCGAATCGTTTGCCCTAGCGGTGCGAGGTGATAAAGGGACGTAAGAAGTGTTAGTCTTGGGGATAAGAGAGGTATTAGGAGGTGTAGGAAGGATTTGAATGTGACCACCTTGGTCTTGTGTGCTGTTACGGGTATGAGGGCTGATGTCACTTCCCGGCTGCCCACACCGTGGAAGGGTATTTCTTGAGGAACCTGAAAAGGAAATTGGATTAGTGTTGGTCTTAAAGACCTGGGAGCGTGACCGCAGAGCCCAAGGGACAACTGCTTGAGGCCGGTCGCGCACGGCCTTTTTGTGGAAGGTTTTTGACGTGTTAGCTCCGTTCTTCAAGGGGCCTTACCGCCGGAGACGGAAATCCGTGAGGTAAGGTGAGGTGTGCATTTTTAGGGTCGACCTTTTCTAACCCCACCCCTCCTTGTGGGAAGGCAGCATCGCTGTCATGCTGGTTGTCCGAGGGAAACACCTTACTGCTGTCACACCTCTCTACAGTCAGCAGTACGACTTCGCCCTCAGACCTTGAGTTGCTGCTTTTAGTCTTACCGTTCGCCAATCGACCTGCCTGGCATGGTAGAACCTGCAGGAACATATGTTCCAGCCAATATAGCTCGGTTGGGTCATCACGATAGGCAAGCCCGACCACCGCGTCAAGGTAGCAGCTTCGATCGGGTAGTCTGCATCTACCAACATGGCTCAGACTAGAAGTTAGTGACTTCAAGCACTGATGCCACGTTTTGGTTTGGCCGCCCCTGACTTTCTTCCAACCATTTCCAATACCGGATAGCATTGGACGTCGTGGTAATCGGTGTTCAGGCATACGTAACACGTAGTCCAACCATCTCAGTCGATGAAGATTCATAACCTCATCAACTGATTTACCATCATTCCCTAATACCCTGCGTCTAACCTCACTATTACTTACCCGGTGATCCCAGCAGACGCCAGCAATATTTCTAAGGCATCTGTGGTCAAATACTAATAGCTTACGAGTGTCTTCTACTCTTAATGGCCATGTTTCGCTGCCGTAAATTAAAACAGAACGGACTGCCGCGCAGTATACTCGTCCTTTTATTGATAGACGGATATCTCGTCTTCGCCACAGGTGACGCAAGTTGGCAAAAGCTAAGCGAGCTTTTCGAATCCGTGCTGAGATTTCGTCCGATACCAACCCATTAGGGCTGATCAGACTCCCAAGATAAGTGAAGTTGTCAACGCGTTCGACCACTTCACTCCCTATCCTTAGTTCAGGTGTTAACGCAGACCAGTCCTGAAGCAACAACTTGCATTTAGAGGGAGAGAAGCGCATTCCAAACATCCTGGCATTGTTGCTCAGTGCTACCAGAAGACTCTGCATTTTGTCAGCGTCTTCACCAAACAGGACTATATCATCTGCGTATTCTAAGTCGATAAGTGGACCTCCTGGAAGGAGATCAATACCCGAGAATTCAGTAGACGAGAGTGTTATTTCCATCAATAGGTGTATGATGAAGTTAAACAAAAATCGAGAAAGTGGACAGCCTTGACGGACACTACTTGAGGTTGCAAAAGTAGATGACAGTTCGCCATAAGCTCTGACTCGACTAGTAGTGTTTAAGTAAAGAGCCTTTACAAGGTTTATGTACTTCTGGGGTACGCCTTTCAATGACAGACACTGCCACAGAATCTCGCGGTCTACCGAGTCAAATGCTGCTTTTAAGTCGAGAAAGACCACCATTGTCGGACGTCGATAAGTATGCCTGTGTTCTAGAATCTGACGAATGGTGAATATGTGGTCGATGCAGCCACGACCAGGTCTAAAGCCAGCTTGGTTCTCTTGTGTTTGCAGTTCACGAGTCTTAGTTAGGCGTCTGATAATTATCGAGGCTAGTATTTTAGATATTATATTAGTTAAACTAATCCCTCTGTGGTTGTCACAGGATGATTTTGACCCTATCTTATATATTGGGACGATAAGTGATTGTGACCAGTTAGATGGAATAACGTCTAACTCCCAGATTTTGGCTAAAATATTAGTCAACCTAATCGCTAAAATTGGCCCACCATCCTTAAAGACCTTTGGAGCCAATCCATCTGGACCAGCTGCCCTTCCTCGTTTCAGATTAACTATAGCCTTTTGAACTTCAGCAAGAGTTGGGGGACCTACTTCAATGTTCCATTCATACTGTCTGGGAATGGAGGGTAGTTGTAGAGTAGCTGAAGGCCAGCTAAACTGTTCTCTGAAATGTTCCGCCCATCGTTTTAAACGCCTGGACTGGGAGCAGATGAGTGTATCGTCTTTTTCCGATATAATCTCACTTACACTTGACTTATTAATTCCAGTTTCTTTTATTAGTCTGTAAAGCTGTCTTATGTTCCCTATAGTCGCCGCCTTTTCCATCTCTTTTGCTTTCGTTGCCCACCACTGCTCACGGTCGTTTCCCGGCGGTCGCAGGCGATCCCGACCGTTGTTGCTACCTTGACGTGGTGGTCGGGCTTGCCTATCGTGATGAAGCAACCGAGCTATACTGGCTGGCCTCAAGCAGTTGTCCCTTGGGCACTGCGGTCACGCTCTCAGGTCACTGAGACCGCCTCTAATCCAATTTCCTTTTCAGGTACCTCCAGAAGAACCCTTCCACGGTGTAGGCAACCGGGAAGTGAAAACCGCCCTCACACCTCTAACAGCACCCAAGACCACTGTATCCATAATCAACCTTCCTCTTCAATTCCTATTATTCCTCCTACATCAGCTTTCAACCCTAAACTTCCTCCTTCAGCTTCCTCCTCAAGTGTCACCATAGCCAACGATTCTAGTGCTCAAAACTCTTTCATCTTGTAATAATACATGTCAGTTTGACATTAATACTGAAGATTTATACAATTCATAATAGATTTATCTTGTAGGTCGTAACATAGTATAATGATCTGATCCATAAAACAATGGGTGTGAGGAGTTCTGGTTATGTTGCTTCTTTTCAACTGTTCAGCTCAATTGTTGACTGGTTCTTCTTTTTTCCGATAAGCTAGTTTACATTTCCAAAATATTATACATGAATGTTTGTCAATATTTGAAGGAACAATTTAACAGAAATTGGGTGCTGAGAATATAGAAGATGCGATATACAAAAATATTTGTTTGAGATTATCTCAGGAATTGAAATTGAAATAATTCAAATGTTTCGCTCAGCAAGTTTGTGTAAACTTCTTCAGGGTAGGAATTTGACTATTTTTACATATAATATTTCAGATCTATGTTCTGCATTCAGTGAGTTCCTTATCAAGAAACGGCACAGTTAAAGATCACTTTACTATTCTGATTAAATTTGTAGCTGTAGCAGCAAAGTGTCGGTAACCTTTATATAACACTTTGTACTTGTTGAACCCTAATCGAAACCAAAATTTGTCAATGGTTTTCAAGTTGTAAGGCTTCTGAATATCACCAGTACTTCGTCTTGATGTCTTAGAATGCATAGAGCAGATTATAAGTTTTGTATTAAACTTTAACTTGGTATTCAGTCTTTCACATTTGACAAAGAATATCATAAAAATACACTAATTTACGATTTAAGATAACACGTTTAGAAATTTACTAGTATATAGAATAAAACACGACAATGTTACCGAAAGATTTTGAATTATTGTTTAACTCATTTTTTTCAGTGACTTTTTGGATTCGTTGATGGATAAGGATTTCTGAATTCACATCAACATCCATCCTGGTTATGTTATTATCAACACATTGACTTTTATTTTCAGGTAATATTGAACATTTATCAACATCTGAATCTGTTTTACTGGGTTGTGCTAATGATAACGATGATGATGATGAAGGGTTGAATGTTGATAATGAACCATTATTATCTTCAGATTTTAACTTATTACGTTCAGCTAAGCATCTCTGTTCATATTTTAATGATAACCATACTTGTCGTAAACGTGAGTGACCAAGTGGTAAAAAAATTTCTCTGATTGAATCAATTATTTGCCGAGTAAGTAGTAATGTTACAAGTTGCTGGATATATTCGGAAGAAAAACGTAAGAAAGAAGAGAATAATTATAACAAAAATAAATTAGGTATATATATATATATATTTCAAAATCATGAATAAATGAATTCCAGTAAATCAATTATTCTTCTATACATAAAACGGCTTAAACTTGCTGATCATTTTTTAGTAAGCAGCTTCATGTGGTCAGTTTGTTAGAATCAATTGAACCCTGCCGATACTATGTAATCACTAGTATAATTTATTTGACATCATGATACACTTTCCTTAATAATTCGGAACGTGGAGGCGAGTCGTATTTAAAATAACCCATTGATAACATTTTCGACATTAAAACTTCGTGACTAAGGTACAAACCTAACAAAGTATCAGTTTGTTCAAAATTTCTGGCTTTCTACGGGTAACCCACAACCATCTAACAAATTAACTAGTAAAATGGACTGAGCATTGAATATACTCGAGAATTTAAAGCAGTTCTACCTAATAAAAACAAAATTCATTGAATAACATCGAGAAGACTACTTATTTGATAATCCTTTCATAGCTACATCGTCGAATTTACACAACTTAATAACTGTTCAAGATTAAAATTTATTTTATAGTTTTATTTGTCAATGAACAGATAATTTCTCCATATTTAAAATATACCAAATCAATTGTACATGCAGCATGGGCTAACAAAGGTAAAAATATAATTGAATAGTTACATCTTTTGATAATAAATTCATAAGATAGCATTAACGGTGCATAAAATTAAAAAAACTACCATTAAGTCCCACTTAGATTATGTACCCCAAAATGCCCTGGTATGGCCAAGAGTGGGTTGGGCCTGCCCACCCTCTCGAAACGCTCTCACACGGACACGCGTATACAGCCTCTGCCAGGGAAGTCCTACTCACTGCATTCTCGTGGCTGGGATGTTGTTTACGAAATTGAGAGGACGAAAAGAGAATGTCCGGCGCTTTAACCGGATCCCAAACCAATGATGCACATGGGCTCCAGTATCCTGTGGGAACAAATGGTGTATGAACCAATTGTTGGTCACCGGCTACCATGGGACTGCATCTCCTCACAATGATCCACTGCATTGTGGATCAGACCTTCAGGTCGAAGGCTCGGGGTGTGGCCCCTAAGATAACCACCTGCTTCAGTCTGGGCACCTGGGCAGTATCACAGCCCACACACACAAATATGGTGTAGTGCATATATACTTGGCGCCCTCTTGTACCAAAATCTATGTGTTAAAATAAATAAATAATTAATTATCATTTACTTTCTACTCAAATGCTCAATTTATTTGAAACTATCAAGTTCAACCTTGACGTTGATACCGACAAACCTAAAAAAAATGGAATGTTGCATATTCTTTGATTAGCTAATCATTGATACACAATATTCATCTCAAATATATATTGGCCTATATATTGAAGCACAGAATACTGATTATTAATAAGTATCTACACATAGAATTATCGCTAAAGTATATACTGACTATGTATTTTATTAAATAAGTGTTTTATTTCCTTTATCTAAATAATTAAATGACGCCAAGAATTTGTAAAACTGTTCTCTTTTTTCTTTTTGTTTAATGGAAATAAATCTCCCAAACCAACCGAATAGTTGTACATTGAAGTAAGAAAAAAAACATGATGTGTCGAAAAATGCTAACTGTATTTGTTATGCATGAATGAATACAATGGGAACAGATATATATATATATATATATATATATATATATATATATATATATATGGGAAGAGATTCATAGTTGTAAATTCATTGAAGAAGCACACAAATATATATAACAAGTCATTATTAAATACATGGCATAAAGTACAATTTAAAAAGGGAAAACAAGATACAAATATTTATCTTTTAAAATAAACAAAAACAGAATAATATTTTTCTTCTTCCATATATTAAATCAGATGATATGGTAGTATGTCCACACAAGTATGTTATTATTTTAAGTGTTAAATGAAGTAAATGCGAATATTGTCGTAAAGTATTCATTTGTTTAAGATACCATAAGTGTTTTTCTGGAAATTACTAAAATGCTTTTAAATATATTCTATGGTTTATTGAAATATCATGTTTTAATGCCTAAATTCTCTATTCATGTAACTCATGTAAAAGACCATATAGGTTATGATGTTATTTAAATATATAAGTAGACTATCGTAACCAATGGTTGAAGACGCTGGGTGACATGGCTCAGAATCGATTAAAATGGAGTAGGTGTATACACACTCTGTCTTCTCTTAAATCATGTTATTTATTTTTTATTTTTATTTGAACACATAAATATTGGTACAAGAGGGCGCCAAGTATATATGCACTACACCACATTTGTGTGTGTGGGCTGTGATACTGCCCAGGTGCCCAGACTGAAGCAGGTGGTTATCTTAGGGGCCACACCCCGAGCCTTCGACCTGAAGGTCTGATCCACAATGCAGTGGATCATTGTGAGGAGATGCAGTCCCATGGTAGCCGGTGACCAACAATTGGTTCATACACCATTTGTTCCCACAGGATACTGGAGCCCATGTGCATCATTGGTTTGGGATCCGGTTAAAGCGCCGGACATTCTCTTTTCGTCCTCTCAATTTCGTAAACAACATCCCAGCCACGAGAATGCAGTGAGTAGGACTTCCCTGGCAGAGGCTGTATACGCGTGTCCGTGTGAGAGCGTTTCGAGAGGGTGGGCAGGCCCAACCCACTCTTGGCCATACCAGGGCATTTGGGGGTTTTCCATGGTGGTCTAGCTTCAACTGACTCATGACCTCAACTACTGAAATTACTATAATATCCACAAAACCTATCTTAAATTATGAGATTAAAATCGCTTCATATCTTTCTTTCTACCAACTAATTTTTTCTTCCTGTACTATATCTTTATATGCAATCTTTCTTTTATTTATTACCGCCATTGAATTAACTACTTCTGTGAATTCGGTGTTCATTTTGTTGTGCTAATGAGGTATGGCAACTTGGACGGATGCACTTAATTTTTATGATAAAGTATGATCTTGTAAATAAACTTTATCCTAGACATATTGTGATCCTATTGATTACAGTTGTGGTGTGTGCTACTTATATTGACATAAGTAGTATATGATTTTAGTCGTGAACAGAAGTTCTGGCAGCAGAGAGACAAGAGGATCGAAAAGTAAAGAATGGAAAGAAAATGCGATTTGTATGAAAATGCAAGAACAATGAAGTTTGAGTCATTTTGAGAAAATTGATGGACATTTTGTAAATTAAGCATTTACTTTATGAATGTTAGATTTTATTAACAAGTCCTGTAATTTTGTGTTAAATACATTCGATTGTCCCCACCCGTGTTCTGTTTACTACACAGTATTCTACTGTAAACGATTAGATTGTAGATTGAAAGGTGACGTGATTTTTTTTTAATAACTACTATCACTATAAAACGTGTGAATTCGAAGATGCGAGTAAGTAAAGTTTTAAGTAATGGGTGAACTAGTTGAACTATATTTTCATAATTGATTGATCATTGAGTAGTCATTAAATTCATATTTGCCTAGTTCTTTTGCATTGATCGAATTTTATGGATCAAGTTGATATGTGGTCGCTTTCCTAATGAACTCAACCTTGAGTATACTATGTTGAGGTATGTGGTAGTTGAAAATTGTCATCAGAATACCCTAGATCTCTGTTTCTTTCTATTTGGCACTCATCAGCAAAGTGTACGTATGGTCTTGATGGAAATGATGCTAATTGTAAGATTGCGACCACCTAACATCTTAAAGTAATGCAGAAGATGTTGAAATACGTTGCAGCTTGATCGACAGAGTTCGGTCAGTATTAATGGACTACAAAAAATGAAATTGATCACTACAAAATGATCAATCAGTTACAAATACTCAGTTCTACAGGTCAATCATGGCCAGAATAGCTCAGTGAGAATTTCCCACACAGCGAAAATGATTTAAGCGGGTTACAAAACGACCATATAAGCTTGTAATTAATAAAGGAGGTAACTGAACTATAATGCCCTTTAATGCAATGAATATTGTTACGAACAGACAGAAAATTGTGGTTGACATTTTCATTGTTTTTCTAAAAAGTAAGTTGTTTCATTACAGAACGAAATATAATTACGTAAATAAGTATACAATGATCATACGCCGACAATCAATGAGAATTCTAAATAAACTAGCAAGTACATAAACAAAGAAAACAAGAGTCGATTAAACGATTACTTATCGCCCAATGTCTCCAACCATTAGATGTGATAAACGCACAGACTTCAAACAGGTAGTTTTCATACACTAATATTACTCAGTTTAATAGTAAATGACTTTATGAACTGATGATATTTCTTGGTTTGGCCGGCAGCACTTTTCTTTCAGTCGATTTCCATGTTGATCAACGCCATTATTCAAAGGGGGAGGTAACTGGCATACAAAATACACATGAAAATCACCACAGTCAATGAAGATAACTTAGTTCATCAACCAACTTTTAGTCTTTATCTAGTATCCCAATCTCAGTATTTCTTTGTTAATCAATAAAATAAGGACTTCGACCTAGATCTGTCTATTTCAGTTTTATCAATCCGGTACTATTCCTAGCCTTGATACAAATAATATATACTATTGATTTCTCTGGTTGCGTCGATTCAATTCAAAATACAGTCATTTTTGTGATAACAGACTTTACTTTACTTTACACTCTACAAAAATGTAACACATGATTTACACATCACGAATACGATACCTAACTACATTGTGTTGAAACATAAAAACGACAATAATAATATAAATTATGCTGTGAGAAATGGAGGGTGATTTTATTGATTTCATTATTTTTGAGAGAATTTTCGTATGTAATTAAATGTTGATTGGATACTTCGCTACGTAATAACATTGAACGTTATTTGAAATTAAAGTATTAGTTAGACAGATTAATTATCTACAAAATATATCAGAGACTAGATAGTGCATTTTGATTGGATTCATTTAGATTTATTGTGGATTCAGTAATAATAATATTCAGTATGGGGTTGTGGACATCATTAAGTTTTTGATCGAGATCATGAACCAATTGATGTTAGACCACCATTGAAAATCTGGAAGCACTAGACGGCCGTTTCATCCAAATTTTTTTTGATATAATATAGTACATTTTAACGTTCAACCTGGATAACCATACAAATCTCTCAGTTAGTAACAATAATTGCATTCGTTTGTAATGAGAAGCTGTGATCAGTGTTGATAAAGTTGGGGGTGAAAAGCTGACCCCAAAGATGATATCAAATCGTGCACTGACTAAAATTGAAAATGCTTTTGACACAGAATTCTGTCTGATTAGTCTAAATAAAGGCACTACAGATGGTCCTATCTAAGGTCGTTGAAGATACACTATTGAAGGGTTCCTCAATGATCATTTACTTGATCCAGGTTCATTACGTAAATCACTGTTTTCAATGATATACCAAGATTTTTATTAAACTGTTATTAATTTAAAAATTGATAGTTGTAAATACAAGGAATAACTTTAAATCAAATGTTACCTTTCTTAATAATTCCAAATCTTTCAGATAAAATGCTGTGTAGAATAGGGAATAAAATGAATTCACAAATTGAAGCTATTATGGGAAAAGGAGAGAAAAAAGGAAAAAGTGCAAAAAATTATTTGAGTATTGGATTGTTTGCGCAAAAATACAATGAGAATGGTAATGTTGCTCGTAAAAAGAAAATAACGACGTATTCAACTCTCTTGCTCCCTCATACACACACACACCTGAAAAAGTCAGTATGAACTATTCGCTAACGTTCGTTATTTTCAAGGGTTTTAGATTCTACATATTTTATTGAATATAACCAAGTTATAGAGTGGTTATGACAAATGTCTATTGGATGGTAAACCAGTGCTCAATATTTAAAGTAACCAATATAAGGTGTGTAAAGTATAAATACCCCTGTTCTAGTGGAACAGGAATCCATGTGAATTCAGCAGCAACATGATATGTAACCAATCGAAAATTAATCTATAAATGAATGAATAGACCAATATGAGGATATAATTCAAGTACTACGAACATATTGTTGTACTCGGATCCGAATAATACTGTTTATGCGATGGCTTATTACACTACTTGGTGTCCTAAATCTAAGTAAGCAGATCAGAGGTTGAATCCGCACCCCACAAATTGAAGGCTAAGTACATTATTTACTAATTCAACATAAGAAAACTTCAAAATAAATGATAGCCCTAGAAATAGTAAACAAACTATTCAATTATGATAGAACTGACATTTTTGACTAGGTAAGATAACACTTTGAGTTTATTTCCCTTAGAAAACTTACAGACAATACTCTGTTTAGTAAGCAAACCATAACTTAACAGAACAGTAAAAAATAAGTCAAGAAAAAACAATAAAATTGATTACACTAATCCCAAACTTAACGAGAAGATAGAGAAAGACCTCAGTCTTTTTATTTACAAACATGGTCTACCGATAAAGGATCAAGACATTTTTTTAGTGTATAATAATACGTTCTGGACAGTTAAGAATCATAACTTCTTAAAACTTGAAATATTATCATTTTCAATAAAGAAAACACCTTAAGAAAAGAATTTATAAATGGTGAAGATCATATTGTTAAAATCGAAAATTAATACACACATACAGTAAGGATAACTGTAAATAGTGGGAGATATTTTACAGTGAAAACTGATGGTCACAGTGTTTCTTAATTAAATCACAGAGTAATTGTTTCCATGACATAACCATATCCCTTTTTAGCCAAACAAGTTTATTTATCGCAATATCTATCGATCATCAAATTGATTGTCCAATTATATCTTCGTATCGATTAATATTGCCCAAAAATATGTAAACACGAGAACAATACCACTAAGCAACAGTTATTATTTGTTAATTCACAGGTGTATATTATAATTCAGTATCATATAGGATAAAATTATTATCATTTGTGAATCCAAAGATTATGGACTCGGGTTAATCAATGAATTTATGATACTTACAGGAACACTGATACAATAAGTTGACAACTAATAAACCAAAATGAATTACAAGTAACTGTTACGACATGTAATGTCTGAAAAGTGATACCGATACGCACTCTACCTATACATAAGCTCGGGTGAGGAAAGAAGTTTATTTGGGTTAAACCGGTTCATGTGTAGGTGTACTCATTTATATTATATCTTAGCTGTTTACATCTCATCTCTCGCATAAAAAAATCCCCTCCTTGACCAATTACGTGCATTTATCATTTTGACGATTGCTGATTAGCTCAATGTATCAATAACAATACTCTCCTCCCTGAAATATCAAACAGTGGTCAATTGAACTCTTGTACAAAAGATTTCAGTTTATTCATTAGCACAAATTTAGTTGTTAAAAAAAATCAAATATCACATAGATGAAGAAAGAATTGATCATACTTATATAACATTGTTCTAAAACATGAATTCATTATGGGATTTACATTAAGTGACTGCTTATTTCATTGAGCACTAATATTTAAATTAAGATTAAAAATTTAATTACCAACTGTAATTCCAAGTGTATTTTTATATTCTGTAAAATTAACTAGTACTTCGTAGTGTGAATGTGTGAAAGTACATAATTTGGTTTTCTAGGTGAAACGACAAGTTAGACTATTATTATTATTAAAAAAATATTTACATCTAAGCAATAATTCCTCATTTTAACGCATTTTAGAAACATCCGAATTATTTAACTTCATAAGCGATGTACAAGTGGAACTCAAAACAACTTTCAACCAATATCAAAGTGAGAATCTTCAATACGAACAGCAAGACAGTCAGTCCTACTGTACGGAGCTGAAACTTGGAAAACTACTACAACCATCATCAAAAAGGTGCAAGTATTTATAAATAGCTGTCTACGCAAGATACTCAACATCCATTGGCCGGATACCATCAACAATAGCCTTCTGTGGGAGAGAACAAACCAGCTTCCAGCTGAAGAGGAAATTAGGATGGAAATGGATAGGACATACATTACGCAAATCATCAAACTGCATCACGAGGCAAGTTCTTATTTGGAATCCTGAAGGGAAGTGGAAAAGAGGAAGGCCAAAGAACACATTACGTCGAGAAATAGCAGATATGAAAAGGACGAATAGGAACTGGAAAGAGCCGGAAGGGATTGCCCAGGACAGGGTTGGATGGAGAATGCCGGTGAGCGGCCTATGCTCCTTAACGAGCAGTAACAGGCGTAAGTAATAATAAGTAAGTAATAAGCGATGTACGTGGTATTATGATAAAATAATTTACGGAAGAAATTTCACTACGAGATAACTTCATTTTCAGAAACAGTAAAGTTGTATTATGTGAAATAATATGTGTATTCAGCTATGTAATGAATCGAAGTCATAGAATGTAATTTCCGTTTATAAACAAGATAATTCAGTGAATGAATTCTTAAACCGATGACAGTAAATAAAACAATATAAAACTAAATGGAAAAGACACAAATATAACATGCAGATGTTTCAGTTCCCTTAATCAGTAAACTAAGACAGGATTGTTCGCTCATGTAACGGTCCACCAATTTTTAATGAATTAACAGAATATCACTAATCTTCACGTAGAGCGTGTTGGTTAAAGTCCAGTAAATAAAAATATACTTAGTTAATGAGTTACTATTTATTCTTCACAAAAAAATTACACTTACCAAAATCAACTTGACTACATAATGATTATTGTAGTCATCTTCTAAACGATGGTTTTCAAAATCTGTAAGCCAAACAGCTATTTTTTTATAACTAAAATCCATTATTGATATTGATACAGCCAGGAAAATCTAAATAATACAAATGTGAATGAAGTATCCATTGACGTGATTTTAAATTAGATTATAAAAACAAACATCCAAATAAAATTTAGAATGAACCAGCACAAAGAAAAAACATGAACTACAAAATCCTTTAGTACGATGCCTTTTATATTGTATGTAAAAATATCCATTAGCTTAACGAGATTGATAATATATATAACAGAGGAATGTAGCTAATCAATCAGAGGTTTAAAGTCAAGTACCTATGAGTTAACATTTTTGAAAAAATCGAGCCCCTCCATCGGTGGCTCATAGCGATGTGATCTATTTGCGTCCAACATTGGGACGAATCAGGGGGTCGCCATGTTAAAAGATGTTTTTGCTTATGCTTAAAGTTAGTATTTGCAAGAAAGAGGCGGTTATCTGAACATAGCTGCAACAGATGGTCGCCATTATCTGTTCTTTGAGACACGACGCTAGTTCTGCCCTAGGACTCAATGCTATACCTACGCCGGCGAGTCCACGAGAAGCAGCATCTGGGCTTCCAGATACACGAAGTGTGAATCGAGTTGGTTTTTTGTTTTGACATGATGATGTCAAATGAATGACACTACTCGGATCCTGTATGCGCGTTTCGGAGACGCAGCACACATCGATGGCGCGAGATTCTAAAGTTTTAGCTAAGGAAGCTTGTTGTCCAATTTGGCACAGTGTTCGGACGTTAAAAGCTCCTACGTGTAGTTTAGAGCGTGGTTTCAGGAGACCAGGAATGGCGTTCCGCGTACTCGAATCGTTTGCCCTAGCGGTGCGAGGTGATAAAGGGACGTAAGAAGTGTGTCTTGGAGATAAGAGGTATTAGGAGGTGTAGGAAGGATTTGAATGTGACCAACTTGGTCTCGTGTGCTGTTACGGGTATGAGGGTTGATATCACTTCCCGGCTGCCCACACCGTGGAAGGGTATCTCTTGAGGAACCTGGAAAGGAAGTTGGGTTAGTGTTGGTCTTAAAGACCTGGGAGCGTGACCGCAGAACCCAAGGGACAACTGCTTGAGGCCGGTCGCGCACGGCCTTTTCGTGGAAGGTTTTTAATGTGTTAGCTCCGTTCTTCAAAGGGCCTTACCGCCGGAGACGGAAATCCGTGAGGTAAGGTGAGGTGACATTTTTAGGGTCGACCTTTTCTAACCCTTTCCTTCCTTGTGAGAAGGCAGCATCGCTGCAGGTGCTGGTTGTCTGAGGGAAACACCTTACTGCTGTCACACCTCTCTACAGTCAGCAGTACGACTTCGCCCTCAGACCTTGAGTTGCTGCTTTTAGTCTAACCGTTCTCCAATCGACCTGCCTGGCATAGTAGAACCTACAGGAACATATGTTCCAGCCAATATAGCTCGGTTGGGTCATCACAATAGGCAAGCCCGACCACCGCGTCAAGGTAGCAGCTTCGGTCGGGATTTTAAAGCCTTATCAATCTCAACTATGTATTACAGTACATAATAGATACACATTTTTTTATTCCATTCAGTATTCTTCAACTAGTAGATCTGACAGTATCCTGATGAAACAGAAATTCAGTACTCATTTTATCAACTGTCAAAAAGATCATTTATTTATATGGTACTTAATTTCATATAAATAAACTCTATATAATAAACAAATAATTAAATAACCTACCTTTGGTAAAGTCACCAATATAAAATTTGGTATAACAGATGTATTATTATCAGCATAAATATTCATTTTATCTTGTAATCGAACATACATTAATGTGATATAAATAACAATAATTAATGAAAGTAGAACAATAGGTGTAGTAATGAAGCATAAAATTAATAAACGTTTCCATTTTGAATAAGTACGTATAGGTCTCCCGGTAATTGGGCATAAAGATAATTTACCCTAATTAAAAAAAGCAAACAATAGGAACATATAAATGAACATTTTAAAGTATTGAAATACAAGATTACAATTTCATTATATATACATATAGATTATATAATAAAGGAATTGAATATCTCAAGTAGGATATCTATGTAGGCTATTCAAATGGCGAAGATATGATATCTAGAAATTTGGAGCAATATCTTAAATATTCAGTGAATTTCCCACGTTTCTTGGGTTAAACCGTACTTCTTTTCAGTGTTGCTTTGTGCCAGTAATCACGTAAGCATTCTTATATTCATTAAGAAGACAGAGCAAAACGTTACACAGTTTATTTAAGTCTGCCAAAACAGCTTTCATAAATGTGCATCAGTCTCAACTACTCATACTTCACATCAGTACAGAGAGATAAAATTAACATGATATATAATAAAGATGTCAAATTAATGATACTGTCTGTGATTATGGAAAAGAGTGGATTATAGAAAACAGTGTGTTTGGATTATAACTAACACTTTTCAGGATATGTGTTTCGTCTTATTTTGAACTCATCAGCTGGATGGATATATTAATGAGCTAAAACTTGTAGCGGAAAGATTACATCGAGACATTTACTCACGGTGTACGTAAGTCAACAAAAACAGGTCATAATGTAGTCCTGCTTATCAATAACATGATAATGCTTTTATGTAGAAACGTAGGGAATATAGTTCGAATAGAAAATGGATTTAATCAAGGAATAAAAGAGTTAAGTAATTTTTTAACTTGAGAAAAATAAGCTATGGATGACTGTACGTCACTGTGATCAATATTCAGCTACCTTCCAATGAACTTATTCAAAAGACTGCGTCATTTAAGCAGTAACAATTTGTTTATATCTTGTATTATTATTATCATTATATCTATATGAACAGGTATCCTAGATCAAGTGACACAATATACACAACTATCCCTCTTACTAGCTTAAATATTTCTTACTTAAATCGCTGAATGGCTCATCCACCTTCCTATATATATGTGCTTAAATCTTAGTTCATTTGACACCTAGTTCGCTCGCTTGCATTCATATTTCTTCTCGAATTCGCTTTGTTCTTGTAGCTTAGTGATCCACTCCGCACAATGATAAACTGTAGTCAATACTGCATATTACCTTCTGAAATCTATAAACTTCTCAGAGTTATCTGTTAACGGTTATGAGGACGAGTGTTATACAGAGGCTTAAAAACTGTATCGAAGATAATCCACTACAAAGACCTTGAAATTTCAAACGAGAAATTAACAAAAGATAAAACTATTGGTCAGTGAATATTTTTAAGAAAATCAAAACTGTCATTTTTAAGCGGTCAGACAAACTAGTTTTAAGAGAAGGTGAATAAGGAATTTCCGAATAGATAAGGCTTTAATAATTCGTGTTTTGGTCTCTCTGTTTTTAGACGTACCATTTTGCAGTCACTTATTTTATCGTGGCCTTAATATCTTACTTTGTAAGCTTTTTTGGCATGTGTTCATTCTCTCAACCATCTTCATTGTATTCATCAAGTAGACAATTATCTTTCAAACCTCACTTCTATGTGTTAATTCCATTCTACTAAGTACCTTTATTCAACACTTGAGGTTTTTGTGTAACTTTCAGTATCTTGATCAATGACTCAAGAATTTACTACTATGTGTAAAATAACTATGAATACCCTTGTACAGCTTTAATAAATGATCTAGCCGAAAAGAAACTTTTTTATTAATGATTAACAAACAGTATGAATCATAAGATAATTAATGAATAATCAAAAGTGAAAATGAAGGTCAAAAAACAAAGAATGATTGACCTGGTTCTGTTCGTTAAGCAGAGGCGCACAGAATCCATGTCATCAATGGTTGCATATCACGTGTGTGCAAAGTGGGGTATATCTACAAATAGTCCATAATTAATTAATTTCTCTGAAAATTCACGTCAAACACCTAGTTTGAATATGTTTGATAACTAGAAATAGGTATTTCATCGAAGATGTTATTAACGATAAGATGCTAAAAACTCTTTGTAAAATATAATTTGAAATTATATTTTCTTGGGGTACAATAAAGCCATTGAGTTGTATGCATTTGATTTATGCGAATTACTTTATTGGAAAATCCATTGAGATTTAAAACGAAAGATACTGGGCTTCAGATGTAATGTAAACACTAACACTGAAATTCATTTAAATCCAGCTCATGAGTCTTAAATAGAACGAAACGTAGATCTTCAATTCAACTGTTAGTCACAATCCAATTATTCTATGGGATTTTATAGTTTGGATAAATGGACGATAATAATATAATAGAGGATAAAACGAAAATGATAATACTGATACTAGTACTAATACTACTAATAATAATAACAGTAATAAAAACGTCAACAGTAAGTGACAACAAAAGTAGTAAATAATAATGTACAATAATTCTTATTATATATATAATACAAAGAAATTCTTACTTTAAATAATGGTCTAGGCTCTTCTAATAATGAAATTGGTGTATCCCATGAACCCCAGCGATAAGCTAAAAATGAACTAGTCCTTTTCCAATGTTCCAGATATAATGATGTCCATATTAAATTGATAATAGCCATTAATAAATAATAAAATGAAGAATTTTTCTGTATTTAAATTAAAAATTAGGTGTGTAAGAGAGAAAAAAGGAGAATTATATTCTGTCAAAAAGAAACTTGAGATCAAATAGATTAACGGTTCTTTTTCTTACTAGGTGGCTTTGTGAAAATTATGTGAAAATCGAAACCAATCCTTACTATGAACTGACGCTTCGGTTAAAGAAAAGTTTTAAAAGTACATCGTAGAGATAAATAGTTGTCTGATCCTAGTCTCAAACACCCTAACAATCTAATTTTACAGTCAACCACAATATGGAACTGAGAACCTTCAGATCTCCTGGCAAAAACAATAAAAGCTTAGTACCTAATAGTTAATATGGTCTCATTCGGCCATTTGATTAAACAGACCAGAATTATACGGTCGCATTATTGAGTTGTGAACTACAATTTAATGGTTTCTTAGTGGTTCTTTATTCGATATCCCTATGTATGGTGAAAACCATTTTGAATTGTTTTCTAAAACCAATAGATTTGTTAAAAGATATCATTTAGAATCTTAAAGCAGTAATAATAGTACCAATAATTACTTATTTATGATACACATGATGCGTACCACATATAGAAGACGTGTTGATAGGACCAAATATTGAAGTACATTACATAACATTTAACTATGTAAGCGAGTAGCAGTTTATCTATCTTTACGAAAAATGATACAAAGAAAATCTCTGTACACAGAACATTTTAACAGAAAACGGCTGGTCTACAAAAAAATGTTTCATCAATAAAGAAGTCCTATCCAAATTTCTAACAAATTGTAAGCAGTCGATAAAATGAAGCTTTCTATACATCAAGTTAATATAACAACATCAAACACATTTATTTCACTAATTCATAGAACTCTTGTTATATCCTAGTGAAAATTAAACTACGGGTAATTCCCCAGACCTATTAATGGACTAGTATTATATATATATTCCTACTGTATAACTGTTCAGTAATTAGATTATGTATATCTATATTTCCCTTATTATAAGCTTCGTTTTGACCTGTAGATTATTATTATACGATTTACTGTTCCTAAATTATGTTCAGTTTATTAACTACCGTCTCCCACGTTCACAGCCACTTTTTGGTTTGATCTTGTGTAAATGTTATTTCCTATTTTATGGTATGATAAGGTCCGTTTGGTTGGTATATAAACCATGTATGTTTGAAATAAATGATTCGCATAGTGGGACATGTTACTGGTGTTCTGGACTCAACTGGACGGGCTAGGTGAACAAAGAACCAATAAGGACGTTAGGCTGCTCATACTGGTCGAACGTCATTGGTTTAGCATAGTACAAGAGTGAATGAATCGTATTTAGATTGGCTTAAAGTCACAACAGAAGAAAATAAGTTAAGGAACATGTAACTACCATTCATTCAAAAACTAACCTTAGAAATTGTAGGACTTATCCTACCAAAATAATCTTGTCATTTAATCAATGAAAATCAAATTACACTAAAGCGTTTTAAATGGAGGATCAACTTGTCAATACTATTAAATATCAATACGAAATACATAATACCAAAAATCAATAATAATAAAAACTTACGTTAGGATTAACAAATAACCAAACAGCAAGTCCAACAACTGATGGAAATATTAATGAATATGTATAATGGCCAAGCCATGCAAAATAGAATGCAACTTTTGTACCAAAATATTCTTTAATTTCATCTAATGGTTGTAGGACAACCCAACGACGAATCCAAATACTAGTTAACTTATTTAATTCACTTGGTTCGTGTAATGGAAATATTTGTAAGATAATACCAGCGGATTGAAGAGATGGAACTAAAATTAAATACAGAGTATTTTATGAAAATTTTCTAAATCTCCGAATTATTATAAATATTATTTTCATCGGTTAATTACGTAAAAGAATATGTAAATCTACAATGACTTTATGGTTAAAACATTTGAATTTCAATCATTGAATTGGAGTCTCGAATAGCATTACAACTGCTTCGGTTTGACCCATCAGGAAGTGCTGTTAACCCTAATACACATATAAACGTGTTATTCGGAACACGAATTGATTTCAGTTAAAAAACTGTTAAGAAGTTGGAAACATTGAACAGTTGCTCAGTTCTAGCATGGGACCATTTAGCGATACTGAGTGCAAATCTCCCAGTGTTTTAGATGAGTACCTTCTTGATCCTCACTAGTGAATTGTTTCGAGAGGAAATTTTCCGAGTTCTAGTGAGAAGCCGTGACCATTGACATTCTACCCTGTCATGTGCGAGGAAATCACACACCGAAAACAATGGAAGATGGTTACGCAACATCGCGGGTTGACTGAAATTAGACTTCTACGTCATCGGATGCGAACTCGGTCGTCAAGAGGTTAGGTGTTTCCTTCGAGACCAAGGGTCCTGTGTTTGATACTCGACAAGGAGTTGTAGATGCGCAATGCCGAGAAGTCTCATGCAAGGGCGAAATGCCTGTCCAATGTTTGCAGGTTTCCAATGGCCGTCTAACTTGGATCGATTCGTGATTTCAATAACAATGAATGATCTCCATAACCTTATAGCGATAATTAATTAAATCATAATCGGAGTCCTGCTGTGTAGCCGTGGAAGATGAGTTGATCATACAGAGAGTAAGACAGTAACTCATTGAAGAAAACATATAAAAGGAACATCTACTTCAAGTGGAATCAGATTATGAAAAAAACTACCTTCATCAGTAGTGTATTTTTTTATTTATGTATTACTGAATCTCACCTTTAAAACAAAGCGATTAGTGGATTCAATATATGGAGAAACATGCAAATAAAGGAATTGTAACAACATTAAAATACTGAAAAATTGTACCTACTTGGCATGAGATAGTTAATGTCAAAAAAATATTTATTAGTATTTATCATAAGAATTTTCACTTAGTATTTATTTAATTATTTATTTATTTGAACACATAGATATTGGTACAAGGGGACACCGAATACATATGCGCCACACAGATCTCATTTGATATGTGTGAGGGCTGTGATACTGCTTGGGTGCTCAGACCGAAGCAAGTGGTCTTCTTAGCGGCCACACCCCGAACCTTCGACCTGAAGGTCTGATCCACAAGGCAGTGGAGCAACGTAAGAGATGCAGTCTTATGATAGCCAGTGACCAACGATTGGTTCATAATCCATTTGTTCCTTCAGGATGCTGGAGCCCATGTGCACCACTGGTTTGTAATCAGGGTTTTCCAACTCCCCTAGGTGGACTCTTCGTGTCCGCCAACCAGGTTAAGGCACCGAACATTCACTTTTCGTCCTCTCAATTTCGTAAACAACAGTAATGCCACGAGAAGGCAGTGAGTAGGACTTCCCTGGAAGAGGCTATACACGCGTGGCCATGTGAGAGCATTTCTGGAGGGAGAGCGGACTCTCCCCACTCTCGGCCGGACCAGGGTATTTGATGAGATTATTGAATTTCACTAAAATCATGAACCAATCTAAGTAGGACCATCGTTAAAAATATAAAGGCATTGTATGGCAGTCTCGTGATAGTATGGGACTCCTCAACAGCGCGCATCTACGACTCCACACGTATATTATTATTACTTAGTTATCTCACTTAACATTTGTTTGAAGCACAGTTTCATGATTCATATAGTTTTTAAGCTTAAGTAATGTTGAATTTCAATGGTTTAGGCATTCACATTAGAACCATCCAGTTGTACTTTTAAAACTTAGCTTTCTATTTATAAAGTTTTGAAAAGCTGGATAAAATCATTAACATAAGGATATTCGGTATGTCTAAAAACAGTATGTTTTACAATTACACCAAGTAATATTACACTCTAAAGTCAATAATATTAATCTCTGAATCACTCAATTCAGTTTTTGGTAATGAATAGTTTAACTTGTTGCGATGCCCTTTTTTTAAAAAGGGATAATAAACGAATTAGGGTAACATACCTAATTTAAAATAAGCTACATAGTAATGAAAAGTGATTCATCTTAATATCTGTCAAAAATCTTCAGTATATTCACTGATAACATTTATCTTTAGCACATAAATTTATGAACAAAGTATATTCCTTTGGAAAATCTCCTGTCAGATTTTATAGTTAATAAATTCAGACTAATTTTTCAAATGAATAATCACTTTTGAGGTGTTGTTTTTTCTTCTATCTTCCCATTGTTATTGTGACGACGGACCACCGGTGAACTCGAGGAAGCTGTAAGAGGCTCAGAAGGAGCCGAAGACGTTCTATCCAATCACCTTTCGGAAGAATGTTCTAGAATTCCAACGTGTAGCTTCCCCATTGGATAATGCTAATAACCCCCTGTATGCGGATTGGAAGACTGTAATGATGATTTCGTTCTCACTAAAAACTATAAATACCTGATAATTTTGTACTATGTTTGACACTGTTTGGAATAATATTCCTTTCGTTAGTCTTCTGTCTTCTTATTGCGACTTGGAAGGTTTTGGTGTTCTAGTGCTCAGTTATACGCGGTAGTATCAAGAAAAATCAGCTTTTTTCAAGTTATAAAAGTTATTTTAGGACTTAGTAGGTAAGTGGATAATGCGATGGTTTTTGAAGCGAACGGTACTAGGTTCGAGTCTCAAAGTGAACATCAACTCTGAGATGCAGGTATCTCCAGCTGACGAGTCCTAAATAGGACGAAACATGCGTCCGGGTTTCCACTGCTAGCCACCATCCATCTTTGCTTATAATATTGAATAAGATATCATTTATAATAGCAAAATATGCCTTGGAGAAAACTATTTCTGATTTAAATCAAATCACGGAACTTACTCATACATTGATCATTAGCAAATTTAATGGAACACATATCGGAATCTTCGCGACAAGCACGTAAACTCATCAGAAAATGATGAACAATATTACTACGTTCACTGGTTGATAGAAAAAGTTTCTCATCCATTACATTATCGAATAAACTGAATTCATCAACTGAAAATTCACGTAAGCCACCACCATGTTCAGGTAATAGAGACTTTTTAATTCTTAATTCTTCAGCACCTGTAAGTAGACTTTATTTTCAAAAGATAAACATTGTAAGAACATACTACTACTAGCTTTTCATAAATAAAGTAGTATGAAGTTTAGTACAAAAATACGTTAGTGCATAAAATCATCCGAAGGGAAGATGGTGTACTTCTTTTGGTGATAAGACGTTATTAATAAGTGTAAATAAATTATGATTCAACTGATAAGGTGTTTCCCTCATTGAAGTTTGAATTTAACCACAGCATTTGGAGGTTCGATGCAGCTAGACAATTTAGATTTCGTAAATGACCTAGCCCTTCTATCCAATACACACTAACAAACGCATGTCAAGACAACCATTGTAGCAGAAGCCTCTACAACAGTAGACCTCGAAATAACCAAGGTTAAAAGCAACATCTTCAAATGCAACAAAGAGAACGCCAACCCAATCACACTTAATGGTGAAGCTCTGGAAGAGGTGGAAACTTTCACATACATGAACAGCATCATCAATAAACAAGGAGGATTTGATGCAAAGGTGAGAATCAACGAAGCAAGGGTCGTATTCCTGCAGTTGAAGAACATATGGAACTCAAAACCACTCTCAAACAACATCAAAGTAAGAATCTTCAATACAAACGTACAGACAGTTCTACTGTACGGAGGTGAAACTTGGAGAACTACCACAACTATCATCAAAAAGGTAGAGGTATTTCTAAACAGTTGTCGACGCAAGATACTCAATGTCCACTGACCGGATACCATCAGCAACAGCCTACTGTGAGAGAGAGAAAAAATCAGTTGCCAAATGAAGAGGATTTTAATTTATTTGGTTTTTTGTGAATTTATGCATTGTTACACTATGCAGTATTGATGGTCTTAAAATGTTTAGTGATTAAACAATATATTCCTAATAATAACTACTTTAGCTCCACAAAGTTACGATAGTCCATAAAAATCGATTTAAAATGTGGCTTTTTACAGATAAAGAATTGGACACAGGCATGAGCCTCAACTTTTTTCTCATTAACACGTTCCTGAGGCGCCCGTAGTTAATCACTTGTTTTACAATATATTGTTTGGTCTTACAAACTATTGTGGTGCGTGCTACTTATATCGATGTAAGTAGTATATGACGCGAGTTATAAAACGTAATGTCTGGTAGCAGAAGATGGGAGAAGATCAAGAAAGGAAGAGCGACAACACAATGCAATTTGTAAGAAAGGGGGCATGAACAGTGAAATGTGAGACAATGGATTGATGTTTGCAACAGGAACAGTCCGGTTTGATTTGATGGATTAATATTTTGCAAATTAACGATTTACTATATGGTTTTTCTATCTTACCGAGTAACTCTGTAATTTTGTGCTAAATACACGCCGGTTGTCCTCACCTGTGTTCTCCTTCACTATACTATAATCTCGAAAATAACCAGATCATATTTAAGGGAGGTTTAGACTTATTGAAGTTTTTCAGATTTCGCTGCACTGAAGCTTTCATGCTGAAAGGTTTTATTACTTCTTTTTCAAGTTTGAGTGTTACATGTTCTTAAATGACGTATTTTCTATATAAGAGAAACATTTAGGAGAGCTTAACCTTTCGTATTTGTAAATGTCTATTCTTTTATATCAAATTTTCTAGATCAATGAAACATAAGGCGCATAACTTTGAAAATCAGTACCACTAACAGAGTATTCGTTATTTCTTCCAGGTGATATACCCACACTAAGCACAATTCTAATAGTTTGAAAATATTCTTACATTTTACACATGAACAATTGAATTAGCAAAACTTAAAACACTACATTCTCATTAAAATAGTAATTAATCTTAGAATAATTTTAAGACAATTATTAGTTTGAAAGTAAATACTACTACTAATAATAATAACCCTAAACTGTTAGAAAGACTGGATTTATTAAAATCTTGTGTTGCTCAGGTGACAGTGGTGTATATCATGTGAACAATACATTCAATATTTATTCTACAACTCAATAATGTAACCATTAATTACGTGTTTATTGTACTTATATATGCAATATGAAGAATTCAAAGCAATTGAATACAGTTTATGGTCAATTAATAAAAAATAAGTCGAAGAATGTATTAACTAAATAATATAGACAATTAGAAAAATATTTACCTAAATACACATACTCTATTTATACAACTTGATTGTATCACTCATTTTTACTTTTTTTTAGAAACAAGAATGTAAAACTGAACTATATAAAGCAAATAATTTAACAATGTATAGTTTATATCAATAATCAGAAGTATAGCAACATGGATATAAATAAAATGATAGAGAAGACTTGAAGCTCAGATGAATGCAGTACTGTATTCTCTGAGCAAGATGATTTGATTTTGAAACTTTCAATGTAGTTCCGGACATATTCCAAGCTTAATGCATGTGAAAGTGCGCTTCCCAAATATTCATGCAGTAGAGCCACTACAATAGAATTCATTTAATAACTGACTCGTTATTATATTTTTAACCATAAAACAAAACTTTTTCAGGTAAATGAGTGCATTTCTAAATCATACAAAACAAACTGATAAGTAGTGTGAATAAACTCCGGCAAATCCGCATTGAAAATAGCTATCCCTTAGTCTTATTGACAGGAAATTGAAGTTAAGAACAACAACATGAAAGATCTCGTACAGTCAGTATAAGATTCTTTCCATGAACATTAGTTTTTAATCCGATATTATATAAGAGACCTTGAGAAACAGATTTCCGAAATCTTTAAAAGAAAGCATTAAATCATGCTGAGCTTCATATTTTATTTTCAATTGGCCTATGATTAATATGTAGAAGATGAACTCCTGTTTTGAGCCACACAAATGTCTAACCACAGATTTGTGGAAGAGATTACATTAAATGCACGAGTGAAGTGTTTTCTAAACACATATCTAATCATTACTCTGTCGGTAAAAGAATACAAGTTAGTCAATGGCTCAATTTTTGAACACCTTATTAATACTGATTACTTTGTCACACTTTATGACACAGTACTGTTAAAAATTTTTAACAAACTACTATATACATTGAATAACTGTAAAATTGGTTTTACAGATTGTATCAATTATATTGCTAAACAGATTATTTTCTGCTTTAAACTATTTTCATTTCAAATGATAAGTTGGACCATTTTTACATACTTAACTATTTAGTTGGAATGGAAATAAACACTATTTTTAGAAAAATTCATTCGTATAAAGAATCCTTGAGATTACGATAATAAGCATAGATGGCAGAATAACAGATAAACCAAAGGTGAAACAAGAATTCAAGACTTTTATTTATGTATCAATAAATTTTTGTTGAATATAGATCATTTGGATACAGTTATGTAATGAATTAACATACAAATTCTTATGAGATGCATTTCTTAGTTTTTGCTCATTTTGAAGACAGTGAATTCACTTTGATCTTGATAGTCAAAATGTCTTGATGTACTCTGAACAATAATATTGACTTCTCATTTACATATTACTATCAATCCATATTACTTATATGAATTTCATTGTGAGGAAAACAACTATATTGATCTTATATCAGACAAAATATATGAATAACAGTTAAAAAGTGGTTTAACAAGTATTGTGCATACTCACTGATGAACTACTCAACAGTTTTATTATTAGTTCAAACTGAACTTAATATCGTTTAATTAGGTAATATTATCATATCTTACATAAAGTTTAGTTTAAAGCCTAATAAACGGACATTTACTCAGTTATTTAGTTGCATCATTATTCATCAACAATTCTTTTTATCTACCAAAAAAAAAAACAAAGATCATTATATCTTCCATAGAAATCTTATTTAGAAAACTAGTGTAATCACGAGATTTACCCATTTTAATAATCACGTTTACTAATTTAGTAGTAATTAAGGTTTAAAACAGTTCGAGAATCAAATTTATTCACATATTGGTTGACTAATTACTGAGGTAAAACAGAAAAACAAATCAAGATTAGAAAAATCATCTTTCTTGTTTGAAAGAGTTAAGTACACTTGTGGATTAATACCCGAATGTACTTGATCATAAAATATGTGTATATAATAAATGAATAGTTAGATCTGCTTCCTAAATTTTGGCGCGAAGGATTTGTGTATGCTTGAAGCCTTATATGTATTTGTAGTCTGATATTTTGGAAGAATGACTACTAATTAATAACCGGTGTTTAGCTTTTGTTTCACATATTATGATTTCTCAAGATAGTAAGTGGTGCAAGTGTAACAACAAAAATGATTTACAATTTAGTCAATGAATTTTTAGGCTCTAGATGATTTCTATTTGTTATAAATATTGCGTAATAGTAAAATGTTATTCTGCTTTTTTTATAGACAAGAATGTAAAAATACTGTTGAAAATTTAACCAAGTATCAAAGATTTTGTAAGAATAAGTTTGAACTATGTAAAATACTTCACTGTTTTTACAAAAACAATCAAGAGATTAGTTTTGTTAATCTTTTTTCGCTCTTGAATAACCTATAAAATAATCAAAAGTGTATCACAGTGGTTTTATCACATTTATGTAAATGAAAAAGTGTTCGGCACTCAGTAATTTGGTTGGAATCTATAAAATAGTTCCTACAAGTTGCGTTAGCTTGTTAAACAATCACTTATTTTAATTCATTTTTGGATCGATTGTTTGAATCTTCCCATTGATATTTAAGATTGCAACTCGTCAGTTTCTTACTGGAATGTGCATCCTGTGCAGATTGCCTCGATGTTGCCACAAATCACAAGCATTATAAGCAGAGGTAGATGGTGGCTAGCAGTGGAACCCAGGACGCGCGTTTCGTCCTGTTCGGTACTCATCATCTGGATGTACCTGCATCCAGAGTTGATGTTCACTCAGAGATTCGAACCCAGTACCATTCGCTTCAAACACCATCGCGTTATTCACTTAGCTACTGAGTCCAAATAGCCACTAACTAAACAAAACTATCAATCTTTCTGGTGCTTTATTAACTGATATATTTTGTTCAGCATATTTAACACTAACTGAAAATTTGTAAAAACGTTGAACTCCAGAATGATAGTGTATTGTTTAAAGTTCCCCAAAGAGTCAGAACAGTGCAAGGAAAAGAATTCAGTAAGAGTTATACAAAGTAACTAAACAAAAGGTAACGGAATATGGAAAAAGTGTAACTAGAGTGAATTGGTGATCGATGTCGGAAGAAGAACAAAAAACTATACATTCACTGCTACTAGTATCAAATTTAAATATACATCTCTTCCGATTCAAAAAATATTGATTTCCGCCATTTTACAAAATATGAGAAGGTTCGAATCTCCAAACTAAACTCAATTCAATAAATAACACCATTTCATGGATCAGCCTTCTGTTTTGTATTGACTACAATGAAATATAACACATCAAGTCTAAACAGTGATATAGTCCAATTAACTTAGCTGATGCCGAAACGCCATCTCCCCAATCAGTTTATATTATTCACATTAGATCAAGATAATTTAATTCTTAATTCTACAAAAGCAAGGAAATATTTTGAAAGCATTAATGATCAATTACCAATTTATATTCATTGATGTCTTATAAATCAAATTGCACAGACCAACTTGTTATCTTATGTATATTAAAAACAATTTATTAAAACGGCATTAGTGATGAGAATTATTGTTTTTATGTTTTAAATTCAGGCAAAAACTTTATTTAATATTTTCGAAAAATTGGATTAAAATGATTGTATTCACTTTAAGCTACAAGCTAATTAATACTGATTCACGAAAACATTTATTAAATAATAACTGTAAGTCTGTACTTGAATTCATATATGTCCCCATAGAAATCAAATAAAGCATAACTGTAATGAGTTAGGTACGATAGATAAAAGCGAACGGATCACATGAAATGAACTAGGTGAACTCCAGTAGACTTTATTCATGAAATTCGTCACCTGTCCTGATGAAAGTAAGTATTTGATTTAAAACCAAACATTAAGCCTAATATTAAGTTTTGCGAGTGATTATACATATAATTAGACCAACTTCAATGGAAAAATAGTGTTACCAAGACGACAGCGTCATATAAGGGAATTATCAATATATGGACATAAATTTTACACCTAGATATTAACTATACGAGGTACCTAAAAAAAATAAATCCAACTTACCCCCTATATGAAGCAGTTAAATAAAGCGCATACTGCCTTGATGTGCGATGAAACTGTTTATGTATGACCAGTTGAGGTACACGGTTATTAATAATTTTTATCAGCCAGTCGACAATCTCTTCGGAAAGTTCTGTTTTAAATATTACTACAACATCACAATCTGTAGATGGTACAGTTGACAAACGTCGCCACTTTTGTGTACGATTTATAACATTTTTGCTTGTTTGAGTTACTTGTTTTTGTAAATCAGCTAACTTCTCTATAATGTAAAAGGTAAAAAGAAAATCACCCGTCAAAATGTAGGGTTGATTAGAAGAAACGAGACATGAATAAAGAGTTATTGGAAGAGTTATTTATATGTGAACCAAGGAACTTTGATCCAAAGGTTAATAAATAGAATGGATATCATTCGAAAGGCAATTTTCCTTATCGTTTAAACGCAGTCAAACATCTACTACAAAATTTGAAAGATAAGGCGAGTATTCAAATAATACTTGGAGACATACATTATTGATGAAAATCAGGAACTTAACGTTTCAATCCGAGCACTCCAGTCTTTAAACTACTGACCGACAGTATCAAGAGGTTTATTTTAAAGGATCAACTTGACTAGCACATGGTCTATCTTCCACATATTTCTTTCTGTTTTTCATATAACCTTTTATTTTGATGCTAGTTGTCTGAATTTTTAATACATTCAAATAACATTTCAATTAAAAAGTACCAACGTGAAGAACAAGATACGACAGTTAGTCACAAAAAATTAAAGTTATATCTATGGAATGAGAAGTTGTATGCATGATCACAAAAATAGGCGAATGAAAATAAAGGAAATTTTTAGATTCGGAGAAATATTGATAATTAGTGCAGCTGCATATATTTCCGAAGCTTCATGCTTCTGTTTATGTTCAAAAAAATTTGGCGACAAACGTAATGGATTTATAACACATAGTTTTGAAAGGTTGCATTGTGAAGAGGATGATCTAGGAAGAACAAAGTGTGGGAACCACAGATGAAGGGTTATACCTTGGAATTTATATTGAGATGACCTAGATAAAATAAAAGGTTAGAATTTAGACAAGAAAAGCAGATATTAAAGTAAGAAGGTAGAGGGATAAGAACCGCTGATTATTTATTAGCATAAAAATAGTATGATATATTTATTGTCTCAGTACGAAATGAGCGAGCAAAGTGCTTCGGGCGTCATTAAATCCATCGTAAACAATTGAATACCCGTAGCTAAATTGATTCAGTCAAGTATAGATGTCTTAAATCAGCATATGGAGAGGGTAGTTAGACGGAATGGAAGGAGGATGGATAACAATACCAATTGTTATGAAGAAGACATTCGGTGGTCCGGTAATACGCAAACAATCCTTTGAAAAGACCTATGGCCGAACACAAGCGACCTATGCATGTTTTATACCTTTCGAACCCAACATCTATATTCACAAAGCTATACAAGCTGAAGTGTTATCCAATATACCTTGACTTCTATCGGTTGAAAGATATATTGTCTGAGTCAGCAATGGCTTATATTAGCAAATATCAAGCGAGTTGGCTTTGTGTGTGACAAGATTTTACCAGTTATCAGTTCATCAAGGCAGTTGGGTAAATAACATATGAGTTGTCAATGCGCCCGATTACTTTAATTCTGATAAGACTAGTGATGGAAAGCAAATGAATCCAAAACATTCTTGCATCATTAGTCGACGTGTTTGAAAAGTTCCATATTTCTTCATCTGACGTCACATAGACAATAAGAATAACCAGAATGATTTAACATCCGTGCATCTGAAGATTCATCAGTGATTCATCGTAATCTCCTAAATATAGGTATAGGATTAGTTTTGAATGGAAAAATCGGACTGAATTCCAGTTAAGACCGTGATAAAGTGAGGTAATAAGCACCTAGGAGGGCAAAGACACACTGTGAAAATTACTCAATTTTTTTCCTTATGCTCTCACCGATACCCTTAAAAATAGATAAGCGGGGTTAAGGGTCAAAAGAAAATGAAGATGATGGCTAGCCCAACGTGATTCATTTTATGGGCCCTTAATCTAACACCAGTTGGATTGTTTGCTGATTTTCATTGAAATATACATATCGCCAATCCTCGTATATAATCATCGACTTAACTCACGTTGGCTAAGAACGGAATTAAACAAGTCAAATACGAGAATGGATTTTTGAATAGGTATATTTCGTACAATCGTTGATCGGAAAGCGAAGCAAATCGGAATAACGGACAGCGAAGAAGACATGTGAGCGAATATAATTTAATCAAGCGTTAATCGATATTTATAGTCAGGTAAAAATAAGCTAAAGGCATGAGTAGGATAAGATGTGCACACACACACGCTCATATAAAAACAGTCAAGGTTGATAAGGGAATAATTGACAAAGTCAAAATGTGACTTAAGAAGAATGAATAAATTGGCCTGTCCGTAAGCTAAAATAAGTTATGTGGGATTAACATAGCAACCGATGTTACATAAGAACGATCTCGGACTGGTGATCATTGGTCTTGTGTTTCTCCTCTTCGTCCCGGTGTTCGTCTTCCTATGCTAATGAGGTGTGGCAACTTGGGCCGATGCATGTATGTGCCTAGTCCTACGTTGTAACTGGCCGACCTCTTTGTTCGAGGCTGGTTAGTATTGGGCCAGCCGTCAAGCGCAGAGTAACAGTCTGCTCGTCCTTGTCGCATACTGGTTACTTGTGATGGTCTTTGATTAACAGTCGATCATAGGGCATAACAATTTCATTACGATTCCAAACAAGGTTATTCGAAATATGTCACAATATTAGGTAATAAACTTACTGTGACACTCATCGAGAATTGTCATTTCTCAGATATTCACCTTAAAATGCAGCATATTAAACAGTTTGTCGTCACTCTGAGTAACAGATTGAGAAATACAGAAAGAAAATAAAGTAGCACCAGTCGCAATAAAAAATTTAGACTCATGGACAATTAGATAACAATTTCGGTATATTGAGTAAGATTTCAATGTTTAAACAAGAAAATTGCAAGAGCGATTTACTAATAAGCCTTATCTCTACGACAAGTACGCAAATCCAAAAATAGAAATTATCTCATACGCCTGAGTGAAAATAAGTCAGTCTGTATAGTCATGCAATGGTTTAAATTATCATACCACAGACTACCACGAAAGTGATTAACGAAATACAAAAGTGCCGGACAATCTGCTATGTATTTATTTATATGTCAGAGCTGAAATAAACTAGTTGGCTAGCGCTAGCCACTGAGATACACTTCTTCATAACTATCTCCGAGGAAATTGTGATTCGCAGCTTAATACATGACCTTAGGGTGTTGAACGTTTATGATCAGCTGAGGATACCACGTATGGACTAAAGTTATTCGTTAAATTGTCATAACAAAACATCTTTCGTATTTGGTGATGAAACGACAACATCCGTAGCACTGCATGCAGAAAAAACCACCATAACTTAATTACCTACAAGCGGACTTTAGCATACTTTGTATTTCGAACCTCCTGACAATTTTATAAAGACATGTTTAATGTGGTTGAGAGTAGACTAATAAAACTATCGTGTAATCGAATGAAACCATACACCTTTTGAAAATGCTGATCAAATGAACGACAAATACACCTTATAAGAATAATGATGTGAATCTCTCAATGAATACCAAGTATAATCAAATATATGAACATAAAACCATACCAGCTGCTACAAAGTCACCACATTATTTGAAAAACTGCTAAGGTCGATTTCGGAACAAAGTTTTGTAACGTATCTAATACAAACTTCAAAACTTTTACATCGTCAGCGTGTAGTAACATTGAGGACTCAACTATACTTGGAAGTTCGTTTACCTACAATATAAAAAGTACATGACCTGTACAAAATCTTGAGGTAATCCACTAAGTATTGGTTTCCCAGTTTTCAGCCGATGCTACAGAGTTTATCTCCTACGTACCTGCCTTCCATATGTTCGGATGGGCCGGGACAACTTATTGACTATCCATCTCAGCCATGAATTTGAATAAGATAACTGTATGATCGCTTCTCCCTAGAGGTTGTAGGAAAGTCATTTGACAAACGACATTAGAGTGTGTAATGACTTAGGCCAAGAGTGACGAGGAGCTACGCAATTCATGTATGATAGGATCTCATATGAAGATTTAATACAATGGAGATTCCAACCAATATATGGTATGCTTCTGCAGTGTTGCTTATCCTTATTTTGAATTGAAAAACAGGGGTCAAAACCATTCTTTACTAAGGCGAAGTTAGCGACCTAATGACCACCTCGGCTTTAAAGAATGATGATAAAATGCCAAGTGACTTTGTTCATATTCTTGTAGCACTATGAAGATGAAATGTCACCTTTAACTTATTACAAGGTCCGATATCACTCTTTAGAGGTTCGGGATGAACACAAAGTTGCTTTATGTACTGTGGGAGCACGTAAAATAGTGTGTGAAGGCTGGAAAATAGGACATAAGAAACAGTAAATCGACGACTCAGCAAGTGAACACAATACACCTACATTTAGTTCAGAAAGCAATAGATAACAATCGGCAATAACGCGAGTAAATCCTGAATCCACCTAAAGTCTATTCACATAAGTGATATCATACTTGGCAGATTTATTTCTAATGATCATCGGTTACTCGTCACATTGTTGTCACATCGATGACACTTTCATCATTGTCGATCAGAGCCTCAGTAAATAACTCCCAATTCAGTTTTACGGTGCGCACTAGGCAATCAATTTCATTAATGTATACGAGTGTGACGGCAAATTTAATTTCCTTGATATCTCAGTTAGTGGACAGACGAGTTGTTTATCAGAAGCAGGCATAAGAAGTATTATTTTGTGTGTCTCAACACCCACACTTGTATAGTTTTACATACATTCGCTTCAAAAGCATCTGGTTAGGTTTTTTTAAGCGGAACAAAAAATATCTTCTTGATAAAGTAATTTAAGTTTATTGTTCAAAATCTAACGGAATATGCTACCTACAAAATTTTCAAAGAACCATATGTAGAATCAATTAGTGAACACTACTGGACGAATATGTAGAAAATACCTTTGTTTGTTCTTTCTTATGACCAGCCCTTCGAACTGCCGTAGTATGTGCTGTTTTTGTTTTATTGTGTGTATTTTGAGACTGATCGTAGCTGTCAGTACTAGATTGCTCACGAATCCAAAATTATAATGTTCCGAATTATTTGAATTATAGTACGAACTAGGGGTCCCAGAAATAATGCAACTGAATCAAGAAGTACAAGATAAGCACAGACGAATGTACTGTATTTAGAATTCGAAACCAAGCATCCAACAAGTACAAAGGAATCATCAGTTCATTCAAACACCAAATCCGCCCCAGCTTAAATTAGAGTATAAGTAATTGTAGTCCATTGTACGTCTTCTTAAGTTCATCCTGTGTCTGTCCGACAGTGTATTGGATAAAAACTCTGTAGTATCTAGAGTGTGCTCATTAGTACTGGAATTAACAAGTGAAATCGGAACAGACTCACCTGCTTCCTGGGATTGTGTAATCAGCATGTCGGTTGTGTACTGAAACCGCTGCTACCTAAAATTTGAACCATAGACTTGGACTGTCCTCCCTCATGAAATAATATCGAATCTTAATAATTACGATTTATGAATTATGTGGCTTCATTTAGAACATATTTTTCACATTGGATAGAGTAAATATTATAATTGTTTTTGTGATAAGGATAAACAGCAGTTGATATGAAACCCTCTGAATTGTAATCAAAATCGAGCTCATTTAGTACTTGTGCTTCGCACTAAACAAGTTTCCCACAAGAAACAAATGAATTATGAGGACAAATAATAGTTGATATGGCATCAAGATTTGATTCTTCTGAAATAGTTTCCTCCAATTTATTAGGAATGCCATTGCAGAGCATAGGATCGTTAGAAAAATTAGCACCCATCAAAACTACATCAAGTTTTCGATCATAATTATGTTCGCTCAACATATTTTCCTCAGATTTGCAAGGAATTTCATCAGAAATAAGTGAACCATTAGGAAAAACCACATCTGGTGCAATAACATGAAAAATCTGATAAGTTGGTTGATTGAGAACTGTTGTCTCGCAAGAATTCTGAATTCCATTTAACTCTGAACTACCATATGACTCTACACTGTCTTTTGAAACTGGCGATAAAGATAGATGATCGTTAGGAATGCTAGACTTAATAGATTCAGAATTACAAGACTTAATATTCGTTGCAGCAAGATGAACAGTAGTATTACAAACTGACTGAATATATCCAATATCACCACATTCATAGCACATAGAATTACGAAATTTACATGAATTAAAAGAGTGGAACCTACCACTGGACAAACATTGACCAAACGTGTGCCCATCTTCACGAACTGCATCGCAACTCCTCAATGAATTATTTTTCATAACTTTGAGTATACACTGGGTTGGGATGACGTAATACAGTGGAATTTTTTATATCCTCATGAATCACTTTACTAAACCTTCCTCCTTTACGACATTCGAAATTTGTATGCTGAACATAGTCTAGCAGTAGATCCTTGAGAACTGTATAAGGAAGCAAAATGGGCTATTCCGGTAAAGCCAGAGTTTTTAATAAGCTATGTGCTATTCCGATGAATATGAGGAAATGTGCTACAATATTAACATCCTCATCATCTTCCTTGGTCATAGCCCATATTTCGAACCTTTCAAAGAAATCATCAAAAGCTTCAGAAGTTGAATGAATATCTCACTTTTCCATCACAGGCTCCATCGCGACGCCAATATAGCGTTTCGAATTATTTGCATTATAGTATGAACTAAGAATCCCCGAAATAACGCAATTGAATCAAGAAGTACTAGATGAGCACAAATGAATGTATTGTATTTAGAATTCAAAATCGATCAAACAACAAGTACAGTGGAATCGTTATTTCATTCAAACACCACACGAATACACAGAAATAAACGTGCAAGTAAAGACGAGAATTAGAGCTGACAAGTAGAAGTACGTGAAAGACCCAGCCGAGGGAGAAATAAACATGAGACAATCATATAAAAACAACGAAGAAACTGGTAGGGAAATGTGTCAAATCAGATAGATCAGTAAAATATGAAGAAGGCGAAACCGTCACTGAGATCCAAGAACAGAGGGACAGATGAGCAAAACACTTTGAAGAACTCCTGAATAGATCAACACCACTGAACATACCGTACATAATAGCAGCACGTGCAGACCTTCCTATAGACGTCACTCTGTAACGATCGAAGAAATCAGGATGGACACGCAATAATTTATCTTTATCACAACTCAGCTTCTAATATTGCTTAGGATTCCTGGACACCAATTCATTCGACAAGTTCCGAAATCAGAACACAGTTGAACAGGATCGAAATCATATTCCATATGACAAGGGTGAATGGAAGTAGGAAACACAGCAAGACAAACGCCAGAGTATTCTAGAACCTTCCACCAGCATCTATTAGCGCTTATTGGCTAGGAAATGGACAATAAACATGCCCCAACATAATCCTGCACGAACGTGCTTTATTCAAATCTTTATTCCGCCAACACCTTTCCTTTAGCAGATTCCTAGTATCTTGTGCTAGGGTCAAAATTCAGCCGCGTGACTGGCTTGTACTTTCGACTTTTCCATCTTATGGGAGAGAAAGAAGTGGATCACCCTTTGCTTGCACAAAAAATGACCTGTCTATTCCGGGCGTTTTGATTGCAAAAGCGTCCAACAAGACGTCAATAAGCATTCTGCATCGATTTCGATCGCTAGCTATCAAAGTTGATTTCAATCGGTTAGTGTAAAATTATGGT